TTACATCTTAAAAGCAGGAAAAGAAAAGGAATTCTTGAAACATGTTTTGAGTGGGAGGTCTAACATTGATCTTTTCTTTCAGCATAGGGTTGATCAGGAGACCATATATTTGAAGGATGAACAATTGAAAGTTTGGATCGCACGTGTTCAGGAGATGGATGCCTTGCATTCTAATGCCAACCATTCCTTACAAGCTGAATTGAGAGACCGCACAGAGCAGTATAATCAGCTTTGGCTTGGCTGTCAACGACAGGTCGCTTGCTTTCTTCACCCTTTGCACTTCTTTTCAGTCCTTGGTTTATATCACTTGGGCCTGATGTGCGTGCATGTGAGTGTGTGTGTTTTTGCTGCTTCCATGCATTTTTTCGCTTGTATCTCTGTTTGTGATATTTTACTGTATTCATTCAACTGAGAAACCAATTTCTACATTAAGGTATTGAAATTTTACTACAGTTTTCATTCCTTGGTGTGTTTTTGTTCACTACACCACATAACAATTTACTGTTCACCATGGTTAAACATTTTGTATTGACTGTTTTTTCTCTCCCTCGTGGTGACTGGTATCAGTTTGCAGAGATGGAGAGAGTTCATCTACATACTGTACAACAGCTTCAGTTTGAACTAGCTGATGCCAGAGAAAGGAGTGGATCCTATGCAGACGAGTCGCACCTATCTCAATCAAACACAAAGGATGAATCAAACTTTATTCAGAACAATGGTAACCAACTTGATGTAAATGGAACTGCTGCATCCATTGCTAGTAATGGAGCACTGTCAAATGGGAATGCGGACAATGCTCAGTCTTTTGCGTCAACTGGAAATGCACATCAGGTATCTTCCATATCACTATGGCTGTTTTTTCCCATAAATCTTAGGGCCTGTTTGGTATTGTGGTAGCTGCTGCTTTACAAAGTGAATTTCGCTTGGAAATGCATGAAAGAATGTTTTTTTTCATTTTTTTAAAATTCATTTTTGACTTTAGCATATCAAAACGATTTGAAAATATTAAAAAAATAATTAATTTGAAGCAAACAATTTTTTTTAATTTTTTTTTCAAAAACGCTTTTGAAATATAGAAACTAATGGTCTCTTAATGTATGTAGTCTTGTTCTTTTCCAAGTTATCAATGTGAACTATAGATACTGACTACTTTTCTATTCTACAACATTGTTGCTGCCATTCAGTATATGTAATGCCACTTCTAGTGTTCTCATATTCCTGGTTCCCCTCTCACCATGACCTCCATTACTCTGGCATAGTTTTAAATTTTTCCATCCCTCTTCAGTAAGCTGGTTCCATAGTATACCCCTGAAGCTGAGATCTGAGTCATGCCTATTGAGATTTGAGCAATCAAAAGGATTCATACTGTGGAAAATACCATACAGATAAAATATGTTATAGGTGTTTCCAAGTTTTTTTCCCAATAAAAAAAAATTGTTTCTGTTATGCAGTAGCCAGTAGGTAATTGAAACATACTTTTAGTGGGAAGTAAAATTGAATGTTCAAATCCTATATCCATGACTTCCAATATCTGTTCTGTTGATCAATAGACCAACCATGTTGCTGGTGTTCCAATGGCTCCAACATCCTTACTCGGGATGCCTACCTACCTTCCACCTGGGCAGGTGACTGCACTGCACCCATTCATCCTGAATCAACAGGGGATTCCCCATTCTATGACATCTCATGTTCCCCAATCTCATGCTGGACATTTTCACTCAGTACCTGCAATGTCATCTGTCCCGCACTGGCAGAATGGGCAGGTAACTATTGAATGGAAACTTCTTCTGTCATCATTGTAGATTTTATCATTGTAAATATTACAGGTGCTCATTTCTCTTTGATATCACTCAATAACATGTTTTCTAACCTAAACCATGGTAACAATTTGTGTACTTACCTTTAAAAAAAATAAAATATTTCAGGCTGTAACAGAGAGTGCACAATTACCTGCACAGAATCAACTTGCATCATCTGAAGTTGATCATAACCTTATGAGTTCAGATGGGAAGTATGACTATGAAAGGACTGTTAGTGGCCATGAGTTTCATCCAGACTATCTAGATGTTCACATCAATCAAGGAGCAGAGCCAGATTCTGTAATCTCATCATCCAGAGGGGAATCGCAGGTTATGCATATTAAGTTGTTGCCTTTGTAATCAATAGTGGCAGAGTTATAGTGAAATAAATTTGGGGGGGAGGGAGATATGAAAATAACGATGATGAGATAAACAAAAAGAAACGTGTCATTAATAAAATTATCAGAAATGTATCATCAATAAAGTTATCAAATTTTTGGAGGGGCCTCACCTTAGATACAAGGGCCAGAATAAACTTTCTAAAAAACATGGGGCCATTGACTCTCAAAAGAAGCTGTAGTGTTGCCCCTGACAATCAACTTATGTTTCATGATGATTATTGACTGCCTGCAAAAATTCTACCTTCTGCAGGCTATTGAGTCGATTGACAGGGGTTACTTGGTCAATCCCCAACCTGAGCAGAGCTTGCAAGAGATTTCTTCCCAGTTTAATGATGCCTTGAGATTGAATCCTCCTGAACGGAATACTGAAATGAAGGTCTGTGCTTGTTTTTGCTGAAAGTTCCTTTGCATTGCTGGTTCCATTTATTGGGTTGTTTTTACTCCATTTGTAGCATTTGACAATTAGGGCAGAAACTAAAATCAGTTGCATATGGACTGGTGTAGGATCAAAATGTTTTGAACTTTAATAACCATGGCCAAGCTTTGATGGAAGAGCAGGCAAGTTCTGCTGCCAGTGCATCACTATCTGAAACATCCACGCATTCAGTTAATGTCAACGAAACCACAATCAACAATGGAACTGCTGCTGTTTCAACTAAAGCATTGATCTCATCTGAGCAGACAAATATGGTTACCGGAGGAAAAACTTCTGAGACTCCTCTCCTTGATGAAAGATCTCTGTTGACTTGCATAGTTCGCACCATTCCAGCTGGTGGTCAAATTCGGATCGATTCAACGGTTGGTGACTGAGTAAAATATTTTATTATTCCCATCTTAGCTCATTTTAAAATCCTTTAAGAAGCAATGATGATTGCCATTCATGTCAATTACAGCTACCAAATAGACTTGGCAAGATGCTTTCACCTTTGCATTGGCATGATTACAAGAAAAAATATGGAAAGCTAGAGGACTTTGTGGGTGGTCACCCAGAAGTGAGTTTTTGGGATCTCAATTTACATGTTTGCTTACATGGACTGTAACACTGTATCTGAGCCTCTACATTGTGATTTCAGTTGTTTTTGATTGAGGGTGACTATATCCAGCTTCGGGAAGGAGCTCAAGAAATGATAGCTGCTACAGCAGCTGTTGCTAAAGTTGCTGCTGCTGCTGTTGCAGCATCATCTCCGTACTCATCATTCTTGCCTTCTGTGGCTGTTACTCCCATGGCACAATCTCATCGACTTAAGAAGGTTCCGTCAATTGAATCAAAGTTTTCTAATGGTGTTAATTTTGGGGTTGCCGGAGGCATATCAAATGTAAAAATTTTGAGCAAATCAAAAGATTCTCAAGAACTAAATGTGCCAGATTCTGATAGATCCAGCGTAAGCAGTACTCAAAGCAAGGGCTCAATTCATGGGACATCTAACTCAATTTATAATGGAAAACAGCAGAGCAGGTATGGTTTAAATTCTTCTAAATATTGCAGAATTTGCAATTCATGTTGGATAATGTAGTGATGTGTACCAGTGGTTTAAGAGCTCATTGAGTTTTATGTGTTTGAATGTTTTCAGGACAACTGGAGCTGCATTAACTTCTAGAAGATAGTATGGTAATAATAATTATCTGAGATGTGCATTTGCATTGTTTGCCAGTTCTCGGTTTCGGTGACCATGGATTTTAATTTGATTTTGCAGGAGGCAATGTCCAACAAATGAATGAATTCATGGAGTTAATAGGAGTGCAGATTGGGCATTTATGGGAGCGATCTGTGGTAGAATTGTGCTCTTGATGAAATTGCCAGCCATCTTTTGCTTCTTATAGAATCCACCATTGGACTTCGCTGATTTTTTTTATCCTCTTTAGTTTTATGCTTTTGGAAAAAACCTGCTTTTTGTGTGTGTTTATGATACCGAAGACGAACTCGATCAACTTTCTGCATTGATATTCATGCACGCGATTGCTTCTGTGCATTTGATAGTCCATACCTCCTCCTGTCAGCTCCTTTTCTTTGTGAGTTTTCTCTAAGCAAATTATCTTTGCTCCACCCCTCTTTTATTCTTCCCCTTCAAGTTCTTTCATTGGTAAAATTTTTAACTAGGGCATTGTTTCCGCCGCAAATGAATGCATCAAAATAACAAAAAAATGGGCTTTCTAATAGCTTTCATGGTGCTTGGATGTTGAATGTTGTGACAAGTATTGTTCAAGCATTGTTAAAATGGGGAAATTGCATATATTATTGACTTGATATATGTGACTTTTATTAGAAGAAAATCAGAGATATTGGCTGCGATAGAGAGCTACTGGATCTCTTTAACTTGATGGAAATAAAGATTGGTCATGTGAAATCATCAACATGTGTGGATTATCCCCTCATTGTTGGGGACCAAAGCTTTTTGGCTGGAATCTTCTGTTAGTGGCTGCTGGTGCTTCCTGAATTCAAAATTAAGTGGCCATTACCGAAAAGAGAGAACATAAGAATTATTTAATTTATTTAATATATTTTTAAAATAAATTAAATAATTACTTTTATGTTTTCAGTCACCTTATGCTGTGTATAGTCTACAATCCAAAAACAACTCTCAACATGAGAAGCACAAAAGGAACAACAAGAATTAATCTAAGTTTTGAGGCATTTTCACGCCAAAGCAGTCCTGTGTCTTATACCTTAGACTTGAATCCCGAGTTCCACCTACGCAATGCAAATACCCGCATGGCCATGGACTTAACATTGTTTCTCTGAACCTTGACATTGTTTGAATGATATGTTAAAGTTTTTAATTTATGTCGCATCATCAGAGTGTGAATAACTGCCTTTAACAAGAATTGACAGTGAAACCAAACAATGCCTCCATATTCCCACTTGTACGAAGCTTTTCCATCCGAACCCCTAGAAAAATAGCAGCACATTTACCTGGAAATTACTGAGCATACACACCCATGAAAGAAAAAGCGAAGGCCTCTTAGTAATGCTTACAAGATATATTAACCAGACAGCCTACAGAAGAAAATGCAGTTAAATAGATATTCCTGTACTGCTAGTTCTGAGGCAGTCCTAAACTACAGACATTCTGGGCAATCAGAATTTGCTGGTTTTAGGCATCAGAATCTTGATCAGTGACACCGGGTCTCATTCTGATCTGTCCTTGGGTGAAGTGTTGCTGTTGGAGGTGTGGTGGCAACTGTTGCTGCTGCTCATGCTGAAAGTTCGTTTGGAAAGGGAGCTTCTGATTGAAGAAAATTGGTTGCTGAGGCATAGCAACTTGAGATGGCTGCATGTACTGCTCTTGCTTCACTGCAGGCTTCTGGGGGGGCATCTAATTTTATTTTTTTTTCAACAGAAGAAACAGTTCAAATTCAACAGCAGGCTATCCAAAGCCGAAATGAATTTTTGTAGGGGACACATCAAAAAAAGAAGAAGAATGTGTTCAGGTCTTGTTCAGCAATTTTACCTGAGAAGGCATTGTGGTTCCTTGGGGTTGGGCATCAGCAATTCTTGCTAGGTACATCAGGTTCTGCTGTAACTGGGCTTGATACCTGAATCATTGGCAAATTTTACAAGAACAAGTGTGTGAATATATATGTACCTGTCTAGATGAATCACAAAGTTGCAGATAAGAGCTAACACAATTTTCCATTCTTTTTCTTAACATCAAAAGAGAGATAGAGTTAAAGCAAGATGGCCTTTCAAATTTTTATTCAGAAAAGACACAAATGTGACATATACTAGTAAGGGAAGAAAAAGATTCATCGGAAAGCTGATGAACCGAAGACTGAAAGAGAAGCTCATAATAGTTCATAGCTCCCAGTTCACTTTGAGCCACAAAAATTCTGCAAGATTAAGCATGATGCAAATACTTAGGTTTATCTTATATCACAGATGATTCAGAAACATTAGCTAGATCATAGTTGTTGCTACCCGTTCACTCTCAATGGACACTTTGTCTGAGCTAAGGATTGATGTCAATTATAAATCTTTTAATAAACCAACATTTTTAACAAATCAACATGTGCTATTCACCAATAAGCAGTGCCAGAGGTGAGATTTTTAATGTTGTTGTCCAAATTAGCTTTCAGTTGGTATAATGCATTCAGTTATGTATGCAATCTTCGTTTCCAATGCCATGTTAAAAAGTCCACTGAAGGTAATCAGTGATAGGTGAAAGACCACTGAAGCTAATCAGTGATCTGTTATATCATGAACAGCCTTGCAATCTCATCAACAAAGGAGAAGATTAAAAAGATTCACATGAGCGGGTAAGAAATGGTGGGGGTGGGAGGGGGGGGGGTTTACAGTGGATATTGGAAGTAGTCAGAAACAGGGGGGGGGGGGGGGGGGTTTACAGTGGATATTGGAAGTAGTCAGAAACATCAAGCTCTCAGCAAAAATATTTGAATTCAAAATTAGGCAGATCACACCATTTTTGTGCCAGAAAGGAAACAAACAAGTTAAAATGGCATTGCAGATAGTTTGTAACTCACGAAGCACATTCAGAAACGTTTCCCTTGTTCTGATTCTCCAGTATAGCCATAATCAGCTGCTTGTTCTCTTCTAAGTACTGCATGAATCACAAATAATCACCATCTTAAACTTATAATCAAACAATGAATTTCGTTTTCTAACCAAATTTTAGGCATAGTCTGTTCCATCATAAACAGTCAAATCAATTACTAATGAGTAAGTTGTCAGGGTATATGTTTTGCATAAGAAAAATCTACTTGACACAAATGCTTCAATGTAGGTCACAAAAGCATAATTACGTTGAACCCCATTACAAAGAATAGAACCAGAGGCAGATCAAAAAAATCCTTTTTTGTTTGGAAGTAATCAAAATTCTCTACTCTAACACACAATCCCTCATTTTATTTTCAAAAGAACACCAAAAATCAGAGAATATGAACAATTCCCAACAGGGCAGCAATATATACATGTAAAACATGCTCAAACAAAGAACTAAACTTTAAAGAAACCCCATCAACAACAAGAAAACCTTGCCAGCCCAGAAACACAACAAGCAAAAAAAATCAATAAAACCAAGTTTTAAAGCTCAGAGGTAACACCTAGATCAACTAACACCATTGTCCAAGATTTATAGACACAAGTTAGACAAACAAGTCCTACTACTCTTACCACAAACAAATGCATGCAAGAGGCCAAATCCATAACCAAAAAAAAAAAAAAACATATCTAGCATGCCCACATTTTAACTTTTTGGCAAAAAATAAAAATAAAAAAAGAAGCGCGTGTACCTTTTGAATCTGCTCGGTGGTGATGCTCAACATTTGCTGCGGTGACTGCTGCATTTAAAAAACAAAACCCAAAAACCCTAACTGCAGATAAGAAATTAAAAAAAAAAAAAGATTGAGAGAACCAAAGAAAGGAAAAGGTTTGTATAGAGAATTCTGAGGGTTACACCATGACCCTCGAGAAAAATAAAAATAAAAATGTATTCCTTTTGTTTCTCTTTTGCTAAATTTGGTAACAAGACAAGGATTCCCAAACGGTGCCGCGTCAATGGGTTGATTTATAGTGTGGGAAGACACGTCAGGCCTGTCAGGCTGGCAAACATGGAATCTAGACTAATCCGCGTTAAAAAATACAAAAAAATAAAAAAAATTTGGCTAACCTAGTGAAAGTTTTCAATTAATTCAAAACTTATCGCTTGTTGATCTTTTTAATTTTTTTTTAATTAAAACAACATGATTTTAATAAAAAAAATTTAAAATTGATCCTTCTAACCTAAACCTTTTCCCTATTACAGCTATGGAAGCATCCATTTTGTCTGGAAGGGACAAGGAGATTGGGAAGGCAGGGGGTTTGGTTTGGTGGTAGGTGGATTTTCTTGCCACATTATTATTTATTATCTAAATTGAAAATTAATTAATTGATTGATTGCTTTTGATATTTAATATTCATGTATATGCCTTAAATACATATATTTTTTATTTTTCATTGAATAATAAATAATATTTATACAATGAATAATAAAAAAAATCTATAAATAAAAAATAAGCTTTTTACGCCCTAAATATTTATAATAGAGTATAAATATAATAGAAGAGATTTCAAGTTTCGAGTTATGATTGGTATTTTCACCATTAAAATAGAATACGTCGTCGTACAAGACTTGAGTAACACCAGCGAGCAAAGACAAAGGGCTTGTCACCATTTTAGAATTGAAGAGAGAAAGAAAGAGAAAGAATGGGTTACGTATTGAGAGTGAGATTGGCTTCATTCTTTGCAGGAGCAGCAACAGCATCATTTGCAGGAATCTATCTCCTTTACAAAGATTTCCAGGTTGCCCATGATGCCATCTCTCAACAGGTAATCATCAAAAATCTAAAAAAAAAAACTGCTCTTTTTAAGCTGAATTTTGCAGTCAATATTCTCTCCATTTAGCATCCGTGAAAAAAAGCAGCGACTTGAGGCTCAATTGGTCCTTATTGCAACATATTAATCATGGGTTTTCATTTTTATCGTCTCTTTTTCACTGTGTTTCCTCGCCTGAGTTGTGCATGTTGTGGAATGGTATTTGTCTGTTGGCATTTGAGAAAAAAGGTAGAAACTTGAGGTTCAATTAGTCCTTATTGTGAAATTTTAATCATGAGTTTTGAATTTTTTTCTCTCTCTATTTTTATTGTTTTGGTTTTTGCTCTTGATTTATTGTTTGTTGTGGAAGAATGAATGCTTACTGGGCACTTAGTAGATTAATATTTGAATGCGGATCATCTGTATTGATTGCTCTTTTATATGGAATTTAGTAGTACTAAAGAAGTTCGAGGATCCTAAGAGGCAATAAAAATGGTATAGAAGCAGTAAAGCTAGGTGGAGAGAGGTTATATTTGGGAGAAATACGTTGAAGTATATCCTTGTAAGTTGAGAAGGTAGATTTACAAGATTGATTTGTTAATGGTAACTGTACGTGTTTAATGCTCCTGGCGTTGGTTGCTTTTGCAGTATTATCCTGTCTTTATGTGTTTGTTACTAGGTGTTGGTTGTGTTAAATTAAGGTTATATGGGCTCTTTTCGCAGGATACTTTACTTACTGGCATTCTTTGATGAGAATTCCATGTCGCCTGTTCAGACAGAAATCAAATCATAATTTGTCACAACTAACGCAATTTTTGTGGAAAACATGCATTTGAAAGTCAAAAAAGTTACTGTGGTTTACTTTTGTCTAGAGAAATCGTACAAATAGTAGAGAATGATTTGCAAGTCTGGTAATGGTATCAGAAGACACCAATTGAAATTCCATTGCACATCCAATTTTTAATATCTTGATTGTACTTTCGTGATTTATATAACATTCTTCAAGCATTGCCCCCCTTAATGCTGCGTCAAAGTGTTTAATCTCTTGTTGCAACATGGAGAAGGGCATAACCGACTGAAGAATTTTAGAATGCTAATTCTGTTATCATCTGTTGAAAAGATATTGTAAAAGAAACAGTAGGAATATTGCTCTTGCTTTACAATGAAATAAATTTTTGGGTGGAGTTATTAGCTCTCCATCAAGTGTTAATGGCACAGTACTTTTCTCTCTTTAAAGTTGAAGGGCCATTAACAACTGATGGAGTGTTAATAGCCCCAGCCTAATATTTTCTTTTCTTCTGGATTAAATGCATGCTTTACAATTGACGTTATCTGCAGCATTATTCTCGAAGGAAGGACCTTGGTTTCCTTCTTTGAAGTTTTTCTGAATCTGCAAGGCTGTAGGATAGTGGGTTTATAATACAGGACATGAAAGATTCTTTTTGTGTGCATGTTTGGAGAACTTGTGAATTTCCTACTCATATGCTATTATTTACTCTTTCATTCTCCAGGTGGAAAGTGCTCATGAATCACTTGATAGACGGATCTCTGCATTGGAAAAATTGAAACAAAGTGAAGCTCCACAGCCTCTGCAAGCAACAGAATAGGAGACTCAAGACATTCTACTGTAGGTTGATGTTGTGGCTTCAGACATGTTTTTCTGATAATGCTGTTGGTTTCTATATGGATTTTGTCTCCTTGTTAAAGAATAATCATGAGTCCTAACTCTGTTTGGTAATACTCAATCAGTTTAAAGAGTCTTCCTGAAGAGGCAAGATTGCGATCTCTATTGGATGATTGGCAATGTATGATTATTCAAATTTTATGTGGTTGATATTATTATGTAAGATGTTGCAAAAGTATTTATACAGCATGTCTTAAAAGATACTGGGTTTTTTTAGCAACGGGTGGTTAGTTTCTAATGATTGTCGTATTATTTGGTGTACCATATCATCCCCGTGAGTGTGGATTCGTCTTGGTAACTGGACATTTTGTCACTTGTGATTGCTGTAAATAATGCACACCATTATTGCAGATGCAACTATAGAAGTTTTCATTTGAGATGATGATAAGCTGCCTGCTCGCTCATGGATCGTCCTGAGTCGATATGATTTTATCTGGGAACTAGTTGGTGCTTCTATATTGTTTGATTTGCTGTGCTCAGGCAGGACAAGCCTCCCCCCTCACCTTGACGACAGTTATTAGAGGCATTTGGAAGGAGCACAGCGAAAAAATAGCTGCTTGTTGTGCGCTAATGATCAATCCTTATCATCTTTTTTGGCACATGGAAAGCATCAAAGCTCAAAGTTAGCTCTTCATATTTCACGCATATTCAGCATGCAACAATACAGGGTCTGTGTAAGAGAGCCATGATGAAAACCTGACTTTCTGTAACAGGTCAGGACTCAGGAAGGATATAAGATTTTTTTGTTCGAATTGTTTCCGTTATTTACACTTCTTTCATGCTTATCATGCAATTTTATAAGAGAACCCACTACATCTCTCATGGATGGTCTCTTATCAGCCACTGATTCAGTGCACTCAAGTGCCAATTCTAGCAGTTTCAAAGCCTTCTGTTGCTCATCTCTATCCCAGAAACTGATTTCTCTATCAAGGAAGCAAACACATTCATCATTCTCTTGCAGCTTCTTCCTCGTCCAGGAAACGATATCCAGACCTTCTTCAAAGCTGGGGTCTACTGGAAATTTTCTGCAAACAATCTCTAACAGAATGACTCCATAGCTGTATACATCGACTTTCTCTGTCAATCGGATTGAGTATGCATTTTCTGAAATTTTGGACAAGGAAAAAGGAGAAACACAAGACAGGAATTAGTATTTGAGCTTCGACATAAATATTTCATGATTAATGAACCGAAAGAACGGTTTAGCTTGGTAGAAAGCGACTTGCCTGGTGCCATGTAACCTAGAGTTCCTACAATTTTAGACCTCGTCGAGCTTGAATCAGAATCAAGAAGCATTTTTGACATCCCAAAATCTCCAACCTTGGGTTCCAATTCAGAATCCATTAAAATGTTATCTGATTTGACATCTCTATGAATGATTTGTGGCACGCAATCATGATGAAGGTAAGAAAGGCCTTGTGCAACACCAAGAGCAATGCGATATCGGGTGTCCCAATCCAAAGCCATGCGTGGTTCATGTCTGTGTAGGACATCAAATAATGTTCCTCCAGGCATGAATTCAGTTACAATGAACCCATAACCATCTTTAATGCAGTAACCCCCCATTCTCACGATATTTCGATGCCTGACTGTGCTCAAAGTTCTCATTTCAAGGCTAAAGTTATCCCCAGACAAGCTCACCTTCTTGACAGCCCAATGCTTTCTGGAGTTTGCAGATTCTGTCCTGTAAACTGTGCCGTGCTTGCCTCTCCCAATTACATATTCCTCACTCCTGCCTTCTGTAGCACGCATTATATCTTCGAACTGTAAATCTTCTGGCAAATCTTCAGTATGAGATCGACATTCACGAAGAAGTGATTGATCACGGTGATATTTATGTTGAAGGACTCGAACCCCTATTATGTAAACCACAGAACAAAGCAATGCCATAGAGATAACAACACATATAATGACACCAGCCAACGCATGCCTGTCAAGCCTTCTTGTATGGCCTTCTCTAACATTCTTGCAGTCTCTTGCATCATTACCTAGCAAACAAAGTTCAGGATTTCCAAGAAATGACCCTGGATATGAAGCCACTATTCTCATCCATGAAGTTGGAAGCTTGCCAGAGAGTTGATTGAATGATATGTTGACAAAGTAAAGGGAAATCATGTTGTTGAGTTCTGTCGGCATCTCACCATGGAAGCTGTTGCATGAGAGATCAAGAATCTGTAACTTGTCTAGATTGCCAAGGCACCCAGGGATTTTACCAGAAAGCTTATTATAGCTCAGATTAAGAACTGAACTAAAATGGTTGATCTTACTCAAACTGCAAGGAATAGGACCTTCAAGCATGTTACTGCTAAGCTGCAATTCAAAGAGACCTTGAAGAGGAGAGAAGGAGTCAGGAATAGCTCCACTAAGTTTGTTCTCTTGAAGGAGAAGGCTTTCTAATTTTTCCAATGAAGTGATCTCTGGAGGAATTTTTCCTGACAACTGATTCTTACTCAAGTCCATTTTAATTAACTTTCTGCAATGACCGAGGTCAGAGGGGATGCTTCCCGTTAAATTATTAGAAGAAAGTCTCAAGGCTTGAAGATTTGCAAGCTTTCCAAGCTCAGGAGGTATAGAGCCAGAGAATTTGTTCCCTGAAAAATCAATCATTGATAGATTGCTCCAAGAACCAAACACTGCAGGTATTTTTCCTTCAATCAAGTTTCCTCTAACTTCCAAGTAAGAAATCCCAGAGTTCCTCTCCAAATCGGTTGGTATACTCCCCTCTAGAAGATTGTTACTAAGAATCACCCTCCTTAGAGACAAACACTTGCCAATCTCAACTGGAAAGATTCCATTAAACCTGTTGTCCCCAAGGGTCAGAACTCTCAGATTATTGCCATTGCATACATTAGGAGGAAATGGTCCGTAAAGGTGGTTCGAGGTTAGGTCGAGTCTATCAAGATCTGGAGAATATTTCCCAAGATCAAATGGTACCTCACCAGTAAGATCATTATGAGCAAATGAAAGATAAGTGAGTTTTGTAAAATTGGTGATTTCAGATGGGATTATACCACTCAAATTATTGCTATACAGAGCTAATATTTTAAGGTTGCTCAATCTCCCTATCTGCCTTGGAATATGGCCTTCAATAAAGTTATTGGACAAGAAAAGAACCTCAAGATTCTCAAGATCACATATTTCAGGAGGGATGTTCCCTCCTATAAGGTTATTCTGAAGCCTAAATTCAACAAGTGAACTGCAATTTCCAAGCTCAGCAGGTAATGAGCCATCAAGCTTGTTGTCAAAGAGAATTAGATTGGTCAAATATTGGAGAGTTCCAACTAATCTAGGAATACGACCAACAAGATTATTACCAGAAAGAGCAATGGTCATAAGCTGAGTGCATTGAGAAATCCTCTCAGATATTGAGCCATTCAGCTTGTTCCCTGAAAGAACAAGCTCTTGTAAATTTTCAAGACCCCATAAAGTTTCTGGAATTTCCCCTTCAAGTTTGTTTCCATCAAGATAAAGAACTTCAAGTTGCAAAAGACCCTTGAAAATCTCTGGTGCAATGACTCCTTCAAAATTGTTTTGAGAGGCGATAAACACAGTAAGGTTTTGGCAATTACTGAGAGTAAAAGGAAGAGATCCAGAAAATGCATTCTCATGAATCCAAAGAACAGAGATTGCGCAGGAAGGTAAGAAATTTGGCAACGACCCTGTTAGGTTATTTGTGTTAAGATACAGAAAATTCAACTTTGGCAGACAGAATATTTCACTTGGAACCGCTCCACTCAAATAATTGTTATACAACCCCAAGTATTTAAGGTTGGTGCAAAAGCTTACCTCAGGAGGAATATTACCAGAAAGAGAGTTGTAGCCCAAGTCTAACTGTACAAGCTTCTTTGATTTGAAAACATCAGCAGGAATTGAACCTTAAAAGCCATTGTCATTGAGAAGAATGGTATTGAGTTGACCACAGTTTGCAAGCAAGTGAGGAATAACACCGGTGAAATGGTTTCCACTAAGATCAAGTAAGACCAAATGTTTATGGCGGCAGAGATAAGAAATGGAGTTGTTTAAGACACCAGAAAGACCATATCCTGACAGGTTTAAGGCCTTGACTTGAAAACTTTTGTTGGGATAGCAAGAAACTCCAGGCCATTGGCAATGAGAGGAAGATGAGCTTGATTGGTTCCATGGCAAGAGCTTTTGAGAAAGTAACGGAAGACTATCTTGGAACTTGAGAAGGTCAACTGCTGATGAAGGTAATGAGGCTGGTGAAGAAGCTTGGAAAAGGGTAAGGGAGATTAGAACAAAACATTGGCGAAGCAGAAACATGGTAACTAATTATCATAGACCAAACTAAACATCACAAGCGAAGTGGTTTTGTTACCGAAGTTGTGAGCTATATTCTCTGTCTGTTTAATGGTTTTTCTTCTGAATTTATAATGTTTTTTTACTGTTTCCTATGAAACTTTGATGTCTTTATGTGTGTAGATGAGGTGGGGCGGCAAATGCTCTTTATGGGGAAACTAATGGCAGCAGATGTAAAGAACGAGGTCCAAGGTGTTTGTTTTGGTCGTTTTGTGCAACTTTGACACTAGAATATTTGAGAGAATGTGAAGCTTTGCTTAAAAGAAAAGTTAAATAAGGGTCATGTCGAGGAGATAATGTGACGATGATTTTTGCCATTTGCCATCTTATTATTTTAAACCAGAATCATGCACATCACCAATATAAAAATGATGTTGTTTTCAAGACTCATTAGGGCCAACCTTACTTCAACATTTCTCCATCAATGAAGTATACGCAAAGGCACCCTAGCAAATTATTATGTCCTCCGTATATTCAATGCTTTCTTTTAACCTCGTGTTAAACAAGTGGATTGTTGCACAACACCAACCTCTAGGCTCTAGGTCTTCCATCTTTTGAGTTCATTCACCAAAGAGTCATCTATTAATTCATCTTAAAATCAATTTAAAAGAGGATTTAATCTCGATTGATTTGAAAACATCTTTTACCAATACAACTTATCATTACATCCTTTGTATATTCAATGCTTGCCTGATTCTCTAGCTAATATAGACATTCCTGGTCTGTTGGCTGCTCCAGATTTGTTGCTGATGAGTCCCATTTCCAATTTGGGATTCTTACTATTACAGCATGTACACAATAATGAGCTTTGCTGCCTATAGGATGATGCACTTGCCAGCCGCCATAAAAACCTGCACCAGCATCATTTGGGGCGCCACCAGTGGCGGAGCCACAACGGGAATTAAGGGGCAACTGCCTCCTTAATTCTTCTTTTTTTTTTAATATTTTTTTATATTAAAATTTTAATATAATAATTTAACAAGTTTTTTTTAAAATTATTTTCCATACCTCCTTTTCTTCTATAATTTTTTTAATTTTAAACTATTAATTAGTTAAGTAACTTTTTATACTTTATGCTTAATGTTTTAGGTAAGTTTCCTTCATTTTTTTCTATTTATTTCATTGTTTAATTTTAGTTTTATTCCTTAATAATATGATAATTTATGAATTTATTAAATTAATATGTGTATGTATAATATTATATACATATGAATATGAATTAAAATGAGTTTTGATGAATTAATATGTATTTTGTTATGAATTTTATATGAAAAATGATGGTAATCAATGTACTAATAATTAAAAATTAAGTATTAAATAACTAAAAAAAATAAAGGATACAATAAAAAAATTAAAAAAATATATTAATATTTATATTTAACCCACTTGTGTAAAATAACAAATTAACAAAGAATTGTTGCCAATAATTTAATTAGCCCCTAGAAGATTTAGAAATAGATGAATGCAAGTTTCATTATATATATTGAGAAAGAATATTTTTAATGAAATTAATAATAAAATCATTATTAAGCAATTTTAAAATATGAAAACTTGAAAAAAATAATTATTATAATGTAAGTTTTTTCATTTTAAAAATATTCTTAAATAAATTTTATTTGACATAAATTAGTACAAGCATTTCAAATTAATTTCTTTATATATAACATATATTTATATAATATATGATATCAATTATTTATAATTTACTTCTTTATTTAAAAGTTTTTTGCTCCGCCACTCACCACTCTATTTCCTTCGTACAAGCTCACCCATCATTCCTTCTTACCACTTAGATATAGAGATATCTCAAGGTAGAAGAGTTTGAAACTGAGGGTGGGGGAGGTATTTGCCCACCCAAAATATTGTTGTTTGGCAGCTTGATAAACTCTAATGTCGTCAACTGCTCTAATTCTACTCTAGACAATAGTTGTAGAGATGGCAGGTTTTCTAAACAAGCTGGGAGCATACCTCCTAGATTATTTCAAGAAAGATCTAACCGTTCCAAGTTCTTCAGTTCATACCATCCTAAACAATTTATCACAAATCATGTCGAAGTAGTGATGGAAGCTTTTATAGATATAATTGTAGGCAGGTGGAGAGTTTTTAATTTACCTTAGAGTTGGTAGGGTACCTTTGAGGTGACATTCACTGACAGGCAAAACTTCAAGAGCAGACAATGCTTCAATACTCTGAAAAATCTATGTTGGGAAAGAACTTTGATCAAGGAATAAGTGTTCAAGGTTGCTCCCAATAACTGAAGCAAATTGCATTGCAGTGGACTTTTTCCAGATTAACTGCTTCTAACTTCTTCAAAAAGTCATCGTTTAAAAAAAAGAATTCTTTAAATGTTCATGATCGAATCTGGTTAGGTAATTGAGTCATGGTTCAACTCGCTATGTCAATTAAATTCGGTTGGGTCAATATTTTTTTTTAATTTAAATTAAAACTCCAACCTATAGCTCTTTATCATAAGTTTTCCAAGTGAAAGTCATAGGTTAAGGTTTAATAACTATGTTTTACGCTACCATTTTGTAGCCCTAGTACGGCATGTATGCCACCTTCCTTTCCTATTCATTAACAGGAAGTTACTGTGTTGTCTACTAATTAACATCCATTCTCCATGGATTATCTTCTTAGTATCCGGAGGATAACCAGCACCTTAACTTGAGAAATAAAACTAGTACTTTCCCAACAGCCTTTAATAAGAAACTGCATAGAAGTGAGAGTTATAAAAGTGAGTATAACACCTGTAGAATACTATGAAAAGCTAAGAACTCCATCCCTAAGACTAAGCATTGATAATAATATCTACTGTTGAGAGACCAAAGAGTTGTGTTAAACTGGAAAGACATCTAAGGGGATGAAACTCTCTCATGAGAATATTTGAAGACAGACATCTAAGGGGATGAAACTCTCTCATGAGAATATTTGAAGACACTCTCAAAATATTTACTCAACTGGAACGATCAGAAGAAAGAAGCAAAAACAAGGTCGATCATGATTTCTAGTGGTTCGAAAACTTGAGAGCGTTTCTCATTGGAATTGCAAGTGAGTCCTTGAACTACCTTTGGTTTTAGCTTGTTTGTTGCTGTCTTTCTTTTCATCACCAGCCATGCTTGTGTTTAATTTACATTGCCAAGGCTTACCTTAGGGGGAGCGTCACCTGAAAGAGAACTATGAATGGCATTTAGAAATGTAATTAAGCAGATATCGAAGCTCCTAAGCCATTGTGATACAGAAGTCGGCCACAGTCTCCAAGTGGGAGGGGATTACTCCGCTAAAATGTTTCTACCGAGGTCAAGAAGACCAAATGTTTTAGATGGGAAATATGGAATTTTCAAGATACCAAAAACTCCGAATCCTCATGACAGATTCAAGGCCTTGACTTGAAGTCAGGATAACAAGAATCTAGTTGAGAAGGTGAAAAATGTTATGCAGATATTTTTTAAAATTTAAGAGATCAAGGGGTACGTAGATTAGGATTCTTTCCAATGAGTACGGATAATACAGAATAATAAGAAATAAAAAATGGTATGCAGATATGCATAATGCGTAGAAGAAAAATATTTTAAAAAATGTGAAATATGATCATAAAAGAAAGACAATATGTCTGTAATGAAGGAGGAAATTGATGATATCTGCATGTAAGGAAGACGAAGAATCTCTACCCTCCTAACTGACAGTTGCTCACCAATGGAAATACGATTTTTCTGAAAAATTCAATTTTAATTCTACCTCTTATCCAATTATCTAGCTATAGTCTTCAGAAACATGGTAGTTATTCTAATCCAGCATCCTAATTAAGCCCTTCCTAAAGAACATTAATTCCCCCTTTCCCAGGGAGCATGATCGTATTGTCCTTCACTAAAATCCTTCACCTACCGGAAGAATAAATGACTTAAAAAGAATAGTTGACTCTAGATGCTGTGCTCATGTTCCATACCAATTCCTATAATCAGATTCAGCTGTCATTTCTATCTACTTAGTCACAACGAGCTTCCTATATCTGTACATGCAACATTAAGCCCTAACGAGATACAAAGCCCATAGAGAGAACAATCAATGTTCATAGATGCACAAGTACTGCGAAAATTGTTAGTAAACGTATCCTACATTGAATAAATAAACTTTAAAAACAATACATAAAGTCGAGAATGAGCCAGCCACCACAAGTCTTTCGGATGAAAATAAAATCAACAGCATAGTCACAGCCTGGATACCCTGAACTAAGCTCAAGGAGAAGCAAGTTAAAGAACAACAAACATAGAATGAAGGTCTAAATTTCATATAGAGCCTGCCAAATCAAGCCTGAACCCTGGATTCCCCCACTAAGCTGAGTCCTAGATGTACAAATGTTCCATTCCCAGCTGGTGGAGAAAAAGAAGTGAATATTTCCTGCTGTACTCTTCATCGGAAGTCAATAAATTAATTAATCATATCCAAGAGCAGCAGAACTCAAGATTTGAGTGGAGATAATAATCTTTTATGGGAATTTACTGATAAAAACACAGCTCAAGACGGAGCAATACAGAAGCTAGTGGTTTTCTAATATTTGTTAGACCTGTTGGGATTATTTTAATCCCAGTAAGAAATCCTCCCATGTCTTCACTCCCTCCAGAAATTATGGTGGCCGTGAATATGCTTATTTCTTGTGATATTATTATTGAGTAACATGTTGTCTTGGTGTTTTCACAAATGATTCACTGTTGAGTTGGAAGAACGATATCATAAGAGATATTTAAATGGGTATCAGCGTGCTTTAATGTTGTTTCACGAACCTCAAAACGTGGGATATACATATTCAACGGTGTCAGCAATTAAAAAAATAATAAATAAATAAATTAAATAACAACAATAAATTTTAATTTCAAAATTAAATTAAAAGAATAAAAATATTAATAAAATTAAAAATTAAAAAAAAAAGCAATACACAACCAACCTATATTAAATAGTAAAATTAAAAAAAAAATAAAACTTTTATATAAAGGTCAAAAAACAAAATCAAAAGAATAAGAATTAATAAGTTGAAAACACAATACGTGGTTAAAAAAATCACACATGTAGAATTTTTCAACATGTATTTTTACATAAAAAATTTAAATATAAATAAAAAACATATGAACATATCTAATTACATAAATTACAAACTATTTTGTAAATAAATTTAAAAAATCATCAATGATAAATAAAAATATAATTAAAAAAACTTGAGTGACAAATATAAATCTAAATATTTAATATCGTAATATAAACTATTTTCCTAGTTGTGTTTAATTAATATATTTATAAAAATCAATCTGCAACAAAATTGTTATAAACATAAAATTTATTGAATAAAAAAAATTCCATATAGGGCTGTGCATATTAAAATTATAGTAATTTTTTTTATTTTCAAAAGTAAGTTTAATTTATATAAAATATAAATAAATTATACTAACCTCGTAATAAAGTCAAGTTATTTCTCATCTCTCAAATAAACATGTAATTGGGATCAAAAGCTTAATTGCACGGGAAAAAAAGTTCAAAAATCAAATTAAGATCTTTTTAAAAAATCACTATTATAATCCATAATAAAATATAAAATGGGGAGTGGTAAAAAAAAACTATGATAAAAAATCCACACGTTTTAAATATCCTATTAATGATAAGCATATAAATGTATAAAGAGTAAATGAATTAGGGTTATATTTAGATGATTGCACGGATATGCACTGCATGTTTTTATTATTATAATAGCTTTTATGACAACATTTAAAAAAGTTAAGTTTGATAAAAGTAATAAATTGTAGTTTTTCACAAGAGAGAGTTTTTAATGAAACCTAATTATAACTTTTCTTGAACCAAAGTTTCAAGAGAAAATTTTAGAAACCATCCATGCAAATATATGATATGTATCAATTAACCAAATATTTTTGAAACTATAATTAGAGTAAAAAGAATTTTTTATGTTTTTCTTAATCACTATTAAGAAAAAAAAAAGGTAACAAATGTATAATGTTTTAGTAAAAAAGAGGTCAGCAAGAGTCAAGCAAATGAAATTTAAATATTTTAAGGAACGAAAGACTAACTTACGATTCTGTTAATAATTCAGGGACTGAAATATTAATTTACTCATCTTACAATCCACTTGCCACTATTTTCTCACCCCTATCCCTCCCGCCAAACAAAAAGGGTTTAAGCTCCTCTCTTTTCTCTCCAATTCAAAAGCCCTAACCCCCAATTTTCTCAAATCCAAACCCTAACCACAATGAGCTACGCTGCCTACAAGATGATGCACTGGCCAACCACCATAGACACGTGCGTGTCTGGTTTCGTAACCCATTCTCGCTCCGAGTCAGCCCACCTTCCTCAACTCCACACTGACGATCTTGACTCTGACTGGCCTTCACGCCGCCGCCGCGGTGGAGGAATTGGCCCTACTCCGAACCTAATTGTTGCTTCCGGTAATGTTCTTGAACTATATGTTGTCAGGGTTCAAGAAGAGGGGGCGAGGAGTTCGGGTGAATTGAAGCGTGGTGGAGTTATGGATGGTGTTGCTGGAGCTTCTCTTGAGCTTGTTTGCCATTACAGGTATGGTAAATTTGAAAAAGGAACGATCGTTTTGAAGGTTTTAGGGGTTTGGGCTTGCTGGTTTGGATGAATTTGGAAATTTGATTGAAAGAAGGTAGATTTTAGTGGCGTGTGTGGAAATTTAGGGTTTAGGTTCTCGGGTTTGGCTCATTGAAATATCTGATTAAACAGCATGCTGGTCTTAGATGTATCTGTTGTGGGTTTGGCTCAAAATGGAAACCTGATGTTTGTGTTTTTTGGGTTCGGGTAAATTGGAAGCTAAACTAGCTAACATTTTCTGTCGGATGTGTGGATTTAGGTGTTTGTAGTTTTGGGTTTGGGTCAAGTTAGAGACTTGATTTTTATTCCGAGGTTATCAATTTAATTGTTCATTGTTCCTATCTTTCTCTCTCTCTTTTTTTTTCTTGTCTCTTGAAGGGTAATGTTGAATTGGTTTTGCAGGTTGCATGGTAATGTTGAGTCAATGGGGGTGTTGTCTGTTGAAGGTGGTGATGATTCTAGGAGAAGGGATTCTATTATATTGGCATTTAAAGATGCAAAGATTTCTGTTTTGGAGTTTGATGATTCAATTCATGGACTTCGCACAAGGTAAAGTTTTATACTGTCTATCATCATCATTGATGTGGAGCTTTTGATTGCATTTTGGTAGTTGTGCTACTACAAATCTATTTGATTTTCTGACAATGTTTTACTTCTTGTTTTGTTTAAAATTGATTCCTTTTCAGCTCTATGCATTGTTTTGAAGGTCCAGACTGGCGTCATTTGAAAAGAGGTAGAGAATCATTTGCAAGAGGTCCATTGGTAAAGGTTGATCCTCAAGGAAGATGTGGAGGTGTTCTTGTTTATGATTTGCAGATGATAATACTTAAGGCTGCTCAGGTAACTTTTCCTGCTTAATGTAGTCAAACTTTTAACTCTCTGTAATCCAAGTTATTCAACTACTTCAACCCTTTTTTCCTTTAAGATGAATCATGTTTTTGTAAATAGCATGTGAAGTAATCACGCCTGATAGAATTACAACATAAAACTGTTCTAATGTTTTTGTTTTAATGGCTAAGTTGTTTTAGTGTTGTGAATATCAAAGGGTCTCGAGCTGGATGTTGCCATTATACACAAGGCACATTTTTATATATGATATGAACCCAGATACCATCCAGGATTAATTCTGAAATTAAATGAACTATGAACGATAACATTTAACTCATTCCTGTATAAAAAATGAACCATAACAAAAATAAAATAAAATAAAGAAAGCAACTCTTGATGGGCCCTTTGAGATATGGTTTTTGTACAGGCAGAGGAAAAAGAAAAAAGAACTCTTGGGGTTTATACCTTCAACAATATTTTGGGTTTGGTGCAAGGAGCAAAGTGAAAGAGCTTAAGGGGAAGAGTACTGATTCTAATAAATCCATTGCTTTCCACAGATTGACTATAGCACCAACAGCTAGCTCAATGTTGCTTGGTATTGGATCTTTCCTATATGAATAATTTTCCCTTCATTGGGAACTCCTACTATTTTTAGTTTGTGTACCTACATTATTCTTTCTTTAAGAAGACAGTTTCCCATGATCAAGCTTGGTAGAGCTCCAAACTCTGAAGCAGAATGGACCACTTTGCCAGTTTACCCATCTCAACTACTTGAAGGATTCTTGCCAAAATTTTGGGTTTTGGCTTGCTGGAAAGCATTCTTTTGCAATGAAGACTTCATATAATTCATAGATTATCTGTTCCAGATGTTTACTTTCTGATTTACAGTCATTGAACTTTGTTGGTAGTTTCTTTTGCTTTGTGAATGGGTGGTAGTCCTTGGTGCCTGCATTTATGAGGTGGTTTCTTATAAACGAAATTAAAAATAGTAATGTCTGTACTTTAATCTTTGAGACAGAAAATTTTGACCCTGAAACTTTTGTTGTCAGGCTGGTTCTGCCTTGGTTCAAGATGAAGATGCTTTGGGTTCTGGAGCTGCTATCTCTGCTCATATTGCCTCTTCTTACATCATTAATCTTAGAGATTTAGACATGAAACATGTAAAAGATTTCATATTTGTGCATGGTGAGTCTGGTTTATGAACCCAATTTCCTTTTCTATACCGTGCTTTGAACCTAAAGCCTGGGGCTAATGGATGTTTAAAATGAATGTTGCAATATGTGAGCATGTGAACACTGGCAAAAAAGTTTGGGTATGGTGGGGGTAGGTCCAAGTTTTGTATCTTACCTATGAAGAATATGTAGATCAAACTAGGTTTGGGTTAATTTTTGAATATAGAGACTTTTCTGAATTATAGATACATATGCATGCCAAACTTTTTGTACTGCATAATTTTAATTGACATTTTAAATTGCTGATTGCAAGTTTGAAATCTGGTAGTCTACCTTTCCACACACTGTCTTCATATGATGATATTCATCATAAGGCATTATCATGTTGTATGAGCTAGTTGTGTATTCTCATTTTAACATGTACACAAAGAGCTTTGATCATTTTACATTTCTGACACTGTTTGATGTTTCCTGATGTGTTGCAATATGTAGATTATATTGAACCTGTGGTGGTTGTCCTTCATGAGCGAGAGCTTACTTGGGCTGGGCGTGTTGTGTGGAAGCATCATACTTGCATGATTTCTGCTCTTAGTATCAGTACAACTTTGAAGCAACCTACCCTTATATGGTCTATTGGAGTATGTTTCTAAAAGAACTACCTTAAGGAATCAAAAAATTAATATTAGAAAAGCTGTGTTTTGGCCAAATTTTTGTCACCTTTCTATGAAATTTTATAGAGGCCTATTTCTTGAGACATATGCCTAGTGACAGAACAATTATCCTAGGAGTTATGAACCAGATTGACAAGGCCAAACCTGAAAAGAAGTCCACAAAGAAACCTAAAAACAACTGATATGAAACATGAAATTACTATTTTTCTGTTTTAATTATTTTCCTAGTTAATTTTGGATTTTAATTATTTGTTTCCTATTTACATTAGGACTTTTAATTTAATTAGTATTTGACCATTTAAGAATTGTAATGCTAGATTGATTCTATTAATTAGATAAGTTTTAATGAGGAATCTTTTCCTATAAACGATTTTAGGACTAATATAAATAGGGATATCTAGTTTATGTTATGGAGATAAAGACTATTATCTAGATTTAATAAAAATACTACAGAATTTTCTCTAGATTTCTCTACAGTTAGGTCTTGTGCCACCTTGAGATATCTAGCCTTGTATATATTCATGGTGGGAATGGATATTATCAAAGCATCACTTTATAGAAGGTTTTGGCATTTTTAATAAATATTTTCAAATCATCATAATAATTCTGATCTCAAACTAAGATGTCTTAGTTTTCTGCTTTGGGTTAAAACTGGTGGTCTCACATTTGTCCATCTTATTGGACATTGTCTCAAGCAATAACTATGTCATATTGAGAGTTTGCAGAGTTTTTTCTTACATTTGTTTTCTCCTTCAGAATCTCCCACATGATGCGTATAAGCTGCTTGCAGTGCCATCTCCCATTGGTGGTGTTCTTGTGATCGGTGCGAACACTATCCATTATCACAGTGAGGTAAGCTCAACTGCTGCCAGAGTACGATTTCTTATGGATATATTTCTAGTTTTATTCTTTCATCTGTAAGCATAATAACACACGAGTGTGTTGTTTGTTCAGTCAGCTTCTTGTGCATTGGCTCTGAACAGCTATGCTGCTTCTGTTGATAACAGGTATTTACTCTGTCTACCTCTTTAAAACCATGCCTTCAGACAAACAATAAAATATTTGAGCTGTATTGTGTTTTTCTGTCATCGTTTTGTAAAATAGCAAGCCCTTAAATGTGAATCCAATTGGTCTGTGCACACTTTTTAGAAAATTGGCCTCTTCACGCTACTATAGCTTTCAATTGAATTAATCTGCTGTTCAGTTTTCCAGTTTGTCTTATAAACATGCTGCCTTTTTTGTTTTCATTTTCTTTTATTTTTCTCCTTTCATTAGTCAAGAGCTGCCAAGAGCAACTTTCAGTGTGGAACTTGATGCTGCCAATGCAACTTGGCTATTAAAAGATGTAGCCTTGCTGTCAACAAAAACTGGGGAACTCTTGTTACTGACCCTTGTTTATGATGGAAGGTAGCTGTGTCCCATCTCTTTTTTATTTATCTATTTTCTTGCACAAATTAGCTGTTTCCGCATTACTAATAATAACTTGCTTGAAATCCTAAATTCTAGAGTTTAGCCAGCAACAAAGCTGATTGAGAGGATCAGAGCCATGCAGATCCATCTAGTTTGGGACGGAGGTGTCTTTGAATTGAGATTTAGTTTATTTTTGTGATATAGCAAGTGGCTGCTATAGTTGTTAAGATTACTTGATATGAGGAGTTCTAGAAGCATGAAAAAGCGCAGAGATGATTTTTTTTTCTTTCATTTTTTTTTTTGTTTTTGTCAGATGTGCAATCTAGATTATTTGGGTATTTATCTGTGTGCAAATTTATGGTTGTTGACATAGTTTTTGAAGTTTGGTTATTGCCATATTTTATCAATGCTCTAAGAGTTTTTTTGCTTCACAAGATGATTGTTATAAATAGCAGTGGTGGTCGGCGGTTAGAGAAATTGTTATATTGCTGCATCTCATGTGATGGGATTTGGTACTATGCAATGTTACCCTACAGAGATCAAATTTTAAATTTGGATCTAGATAGATTTATAGATTTGAAATACATGTGAAAAGAGATGATATTGAGAAGCTAAACACTTTGGAAAGTTTAGCTTGGTATGCAATTCTTACAATAGGTTAAATTTTGCTGGTCCAAAATTTTCATGTTTTAAGAAATTGCATCTTATGTTTCCCTTTCAAATCATTTTGCTCTGATGTTATGGATATTTCATATTCCATGTGCTTTTGGAATCAAGTTTCATTTTGAATAGCTCATGTATTTGATGTTTCTTTTTCCTCTCCCCTTGAAGGGTTGTGCAGAGACTTGATCTTTCCAAGTCTAAAGCTTCAGTACTTACTTCGGTTAGTTACTTCTAACAGATTCTTTGTCCTGAACTCCTTTTCATGTGAAGCTTTCTTCTGTATTCTTTCCATTGATATAATTCTTGACTATGTTTTTCTCCTACAAACATTTTTTTTTCATACAGGATATTGCAACACTTGGAAACTCGTTCTTTTTTCTGGGAAGTCGTTTGGGAGACAGTTTGCTTGTGCAGTTTACTTCTGGATTGGGATCTTCAATGTTGTCACCTGGTTTAAAGGAAGAGGTATTGTGTTGGATGCCTTCCATTCCTCTTTGCAAGTTAATGTTGACAAGTTCAATGAATGTTCTGGCCCATCAAATTCTACATATTTTCTGCCTCTGAAATTCAAGCAACTGGCAATCATCTTTTGGATCATGTTGTAATTCTTAGTCTTGAAATTGTCAGACTAATTATTTTTATCCTCTCACAACTGGTCTTGATAAAAAATTTCCTTTCCAGAGTTGTTTTCAAGCAAATTTCTCTCTAGAAATTGCTGTTTTCTTTTCTCTATAATTCTGAAACCTTCTCTGCTACCTGTGTATCTACAGGTTGGAGATATTGAAGGTGATTTGCCTTCAGCGAAGCGATTGAAGGTGTCCTCTTCTGATGCTTTACAAGATATGGTTAGCGGGGAGGAACTTTCCTTGTATAGTTCAGCGCCAAATAATGCAGAATCATCACAGGTTGTATCAGTTATTGTTCTCCTTTATACTTTATCCACAATGCATTTTATAAAAGTAAAAAATAAAGGAGCTAGAACACTTATCCTGGGAATGATGCAGGGCAGATTTGAATTTCTGTCCTACAACTAAAAGCATTTTATGATGAGCCAGGCCTGGAAATATGGGGATTTAAGGGTTCTGATTAAAGAATAAAGGATCTGAGTTTTACAACTCAAGTAAGTATGAGTTTGAGGTAGCTACTGGAGTTGATCTTGAATCATAGGTAAGATAAATTGCATTGCATCGCATCGCATCGCATCACATCATCTAACATGTTGGACTCAAAGTGAGGAAGAAGACTGAACAATTTCCACCATCCTTCTAAGTTTAGCAATAGCACCTTATTGATCTTCTTAGTTGTCTCAAGTCAGAGGCTCATCTAAAATGATCCTTCTTTTCCTATCACTGAAAATAACACAAATGTGTTTCTTGATGGCCATGACCGTGACCATAAATCCTACTTGGGCAGATGTTTTTTTTTTTAATGTTTTGCCACAATTATTGTGATATTTTAGCTTTGACTGTCTATTCTAATTTTATTCAGGTTAGCATTTTTCCTAATAACATTTTTTTTTAATAATCCCATCCCTCTTTTTTTGTCTTTATGGGTTCAGAAAACTTTCTCATTTACAGTGAGGGATTCGTTGACCAATGTTGGCCCTTTGAAGGACTTTGCATATGGTTTAAGGATTAATGCGGATGCTAATGCAACTGGAATCTCCAAACAAAGCAACTATGAATTGGTTAGTTTCACACATCAGACTGCTATTTTTGTTATGTTTTACATATTTGATATTCTAAAACCTGTTAGAAGGTAAGGAAGTGAAATCTCAGGAATAAGTTACTGTAAGTTTTGAGGTTCACTCAAAATGTTCAGCCCCCTCCCCCAATTTGATTTCTGGTACCACCAGGCTTCAGATCTAACAGTTGACTCCATGTTTACAAGAGGAATATACTGAGCAAAATAAAAAGTTATGACTTATGGATTTTGTCGAGTCAAGAGTTTCAGAATGGAAAAGCTCTTGTTCCAAATTCTATTATCTTTAAATTTTTATTGGTTAATCTTTTCAGGTGTGCTGTTCCGGACACGGTAAAAATGGCGCTCTTTGTGTCCTTCAGCAATCAATTCGCCCAGAAATGATTACAGAGGTTTATCCTTAATCTTATTTTTATGATTCTTAGACGGGAAATAGCTTTGAGCTTTATAATTTCTTATGATTTTGTTTGGATTGTAGAGTTGTATCCATGTTACAATGCCATACAGTTTCTGTTATTTGAATATTTTTCATTAACTATCTTGGATGTCCTTATTATTGGATCATACATTATATTGTTGCTTGTAAAACATCGTTCTTTCCCCTTAAAACTTCTTGTGATTACTTCCATAAGGTCCATTAACTCTTACCATCACTCTTTTCATTTTTTTCATAATATTTCCTTCTCAGGTACAACAGAGAATCCTCTATCAAGATGAAAGTTTATATATCCTAATTTGTTAATATGAAGTACTTTCATGTCTCATTGATGATGATATTGTTTTAATATTTACATTTAGGCCACTGACAGTTTGCAACATGATTCCATCTTTTATCTGAACATTTTGTAAATGGAATCATTATTCAATCTGTACAGTTTTACAATTATGCACTGCAACTTCATTAAGACCAACTTTTCTCGTGGCTAAGTGCATCTTTTCTTGTACACGTGTTTCTGAATACAGGTTGAACTTCCTGGATGTAAAGGAATTTGGACTGTTTACCACAAGAATGCACGTAGTCATAGTGTTGACTCATTGAAAATGGCTTCGGATGATGAATATCATGCATATTTGATCATAAGTATGGAGGCACGGACAATGGTAATATCATTAACTTGTGTTAACAGTAGTTATTTGCAAAATCTGCAAACTGTGTGGTTCTCAGTTGAACTTGTTATGATCTGATGCATAGAAGATAATTGTTAGAAGTCTTCACATCTTTTTTTTTTTAATTTTTATTAAAATATCAAGTTGCTCCGCAATTTCCTATTTGGAATAATACAAACATATGGAAAGAGCTATGTTTAATATCTTTATAACTGAACAAGAGACTTTCCAGTCCTTTCACCACATTTTCTTATACAAGTGACCATTTGCTGCGTTCAGTAAAATTATCAGAATTGTCTAGCTAAGTAGGCAAAGTGAAAGTGGCAAGTCAGGAAAGTTATGGAATCAAATGAGAAAAAAAAAAGGTAAAATATGTGAGTGCAGTAGAGTTACAAAAATAAGTTTGAAATATACATCCACATAATATGCCTTATTGTTTTTCAGAAAACTTGAGATAAATATAGGAGCTTAGGACATTGCTCAGGTCAGCACTTGCACAATCCCCTATTAAATGGGATCGATGCTATACCACAAAGAGTTTCTACTTGATGTCATCATAGCTTAAATAGAGGATATAGCTATAATACGAATATGAGCAGTACTTGGGCAGTTTGAACAATATAAATGAAAATGTCCATCTCTCTCTCTCTCTCTCTCTCTCACACACACACACACACACACTGGTATGGACTTTGATACTTTGTGCTTCTCATCTATATAGAGTCACCTGTTTATTATCTATAATTTTGATGAATTCCTCTTTCTGTGAAATTTCTCTCTCTCCCCTGTGAATGTTTATTATTGTTGCTTCTCATCTATAGGGAATTATCCTGTTTATTATCTGTAATTTTAATGAATGTCTCCATCTTCAAAATTCAATTAATTCATTATGAATACTGGGCAATAAGTTGCTAGTTTTGGAATAATTTATGGGGTGTAATTTCATGTCTTTTTCACAGTAATCTCTATGTCCACCCTAGGAGCCTGCCACCCCTTTATTTTTTATTTGCTAAAGCACATGGAATCATGTACATGTGCATCTCTCCCTAAGCATGACTAAATATAAGTGCAAAGCATCTTATGCTCTGAAAGTCATCTACATGTACTCTGAGATGATGGAGGAGAAAATTTAAAAATCAAACCTAATTTGCAGTTCCAAATGTTGTCATTTTCTTATCAAAAACATCTCCTTAGTTGTATAGTTTATGATCAACATCATGTAATCTGATTGTTTAATTGCAATCTATTTTTGCATGCTGGGTAGGTGCTTGAAACTGCTGATCATTTGACGGAAGTCACTGAAAGTGTGGACTATTTTGTGCAAGGAAGAACAATTGCTGCAGGGAACTTGTTTGGAAGGTGAGAATTCATCTAGTTTCAGTGACTTGAATTTACTTTCTTATGAATGCGGTTTTGATTTCCTTCCTTTATATTAGATGACTATTTTTTCTTTTCATTCAATATCTGAAATGTAAATGGGTGTTGTTCTATCCATTTTTTTATGCTGTTAAAAAGCATGAATGACCAGTTTCCAATAAATTCTAGACAACTACCTTTCCCATTGATTTTTGCTATGCTTCTTGTTGTCTATATGCACATGTATGGCTTGTCATACAAATTAAAATGATAAGTGATTGAAGACATGTCATCTAAGGCTTGCTGTAAATTGTGACTGAATGATTTTATTGCTTTACTGGTTGCTTGACTATGTTTCGCAAATTATTTTCCATTTCATTTCTTTTCCCTTGAGATGAGAAATTGGCACCATTTTCTTGATATCAACTTAGAAACTAAAATTTCTTGCTTCTTGGTTATTTCCCTTCTCAGACGCCGAGTTGTTCAGGTGTTTGAACGTGGTGCTCGAATCTTAGATGGTTCTTTTATGACTCAAGATTTAAGCTTTGGAGGTTCTAACTCGGAAACTGGTCGTTCTGAGAGTTCCACAGTGATGCATGTGTCAATTGTAGATCCATATGTTTTAGTTAGAATGGCTGATGGGAGCATTCAGATTCTTGTTGGAGGTATGTTATGACATGGATTAGCTTTCAACATATTTGTTTTAGTTTTATGATATAGTTTTGTTAGCTCACAACTCTCTTTCCAAGCGAGTTTCCATGAAAGCTTCCATGATGGATGGTAGCATTCCATGAAACGTCTCTTTAGTTCCTTTTATTTTGACATGGTCAAATTGTGAAGGCATTTTGTAGATTTTGTAACTCAATGAAGAGGCTCATTCCCTTCTTTTGTGCTCAAAGTATAAGGATATTTTTAGGGACTGTTTCTTGGATCCTCCCATTCTAATTTGGGAGCTCTCATGCTAGGTTACTGTATGGGCCTGAATACCCTTGCCTATTCACCTAATAAGTATAACTTATTGTTTTAGCTGGTAGCGTCATGCTATAGCAATTCGAAGATTGTAAAGCATCATGCCATATGATTGATTCACATTATAAAGTCTTAGAACATGTATAAGATTGTAGTCTTAGTTCCCCAAACCCTATGAAAGCTGACCTCCGTCAATGTATTGATGGTGTCACATTTAATAAAATTCCTATTTTAGCTTCATATAGATAAGCTTGTAGCATTGTTAAAGGTCTGTACTGGAAGAATTAATGTTTTCAAGAAGCTGAGACGCACCGGGCTAGGTGACAATGCCTTTATTAGCCTTGGGCGATGGATTTCAATGAAGCACTGCCTAGGCGAGTGCCTCATGAGTGGGTGTCAAGCTCTAAAGTTAGCACTTGATTGAAATACTTTTTTTTTTTGTTGCTTTTTAACTGATTTATGTTTTGACCTTTTTGTTCATTTTTTAATTGACCACAAGAAACAACTTAGGTTTTTTTTTTTTTGAAAAAAACAATGATTAGGGTAAAAAAATCATTAAAGTGGGAGACATACAGTCAAGGAAGGACACTTGAAGAGAAACACTAGCCAAACTTTGCGTTGAACAGAGAACAACAACACAATTACAGAACATGAAAGCATGGATGAAGATGTTTTTGAAGATTAATGAATAATGATGATGATTTTTAAGTTTGTTTTTAATCTATTTGGCTACTTTCTACTTTAAATTATCTTATTTTGTTTTAAGGGTGAAAATAAAACTTTATATGACCATGATATGGTATTTTATATTTTCTAATGGTCTAATATTAATTGGGTATATATTTAAGATTTATATAATATAATATAATATTATACATATATATTTTTTTAATCTATAGTATATCACCTTGGTTCATTCGGGCACTTTTATTGCCTTTTGCCTTTGACAACACCAAGGAATATAGAAAGAAGCTTGCGGTTTTCAAAAGTGCAACCATGATTGTCATTCTTCTCCAACCATATTGATGATGCTTCTATACTGCAGGGAGGAGTGAAGGATAGAACTGGATTTTTTTTCATGTTTGGTTGTTTGGAGTGATGAGAAGGAAATGAAAGGACAATTTCCTTCTTCATGGGCCCACAAAGTTTGATCCTACTCAAAACGGAGGGATCAGAAATATTCATGAGTGAAATATGGGTTATTTTCCACATGGAAATGTTTGATCCTTCTTCATGTGCAGTCCATTCTTCCACAACAATATCTTTCATATCTTTTCCTTCACCCTTAAGTTCCCTCCGAATCCCAGTAACATTTTGATTCAGTTGTCTGGACTAGTTTGTAGGAACTACCACTTCTGTCTAGATTAGGTTCCTCAGATGGTGAATCTCTATTGTTTTGGCATATATCATCTGGAATTGCAGTAATTGATATTAATTTGAAGAATGTGGTTGTTTGACACTGCTGCATATATCATCTGGAATTGCTGTCATTGATATTGATTTGAAGAATCTGGTAGTTTGACACTGCTATTGTTAATTTTTTCAAGTTGCTTAAGGTTTAAAGTTTGAACCGAAACATCCAAGGTATTGGATTTTACAGTCAGGTGGCTGTAAATGTTAATCAACTGCAGTAATAATACTATATGATCCAACAATTCTATCTGGGTGAATGATATCTGTTTTCATATGCCTTTGTACAGGCATGGCATGCCCTTGTTGTATTGTGAAACCGTGTTTTTTTTCTTCTCTGTTTGTTTAACAGATTTTTCTTTTCTTTTTTCTTTTCTGAAATTTTTAACAAGGGACATGTTTAATTTGGAATTTCAGATCCTTCTGCTTGTACAGTTTCTGTAAACACTCCGTCTGCCTTTCAGAGCTCAACGAAATCAGTATCTGCCTGCACACTGTATCATGATAAAGGGCCAGAGCCATGGCTCCGGAAGACAAGTACAGATGCATGGCTTTCTACTGGAATTAGCGAGGCTATTGATGGTGCTGACAGTGGAGCTCATGAGCAGGGTGATATATACTGTGTTGTTTGTTATGAGACTGGTGCCCTTGAAATATTTGATGTGCCAAATTTCAATTCTGTGTTCTTTGTGGATAAATTTGTCTCTGGAAAAACTCATCTCCTTGATACCTGCACGGGGGAACCTGCTAAAGATATGATGAAGGGGGTGAAAGAAGAAGTTGCTGGTGCTGGCAGAAAAGAAAGTACTCAAAACATGAAGGTTGTCGAATTGGCTATGCTGAGATGGTCTGGACGTCACAGTCGCCCTTTTCTTTTTGGAATATTGACTGATGGGACAATTCTTTGTTACCACGCATACCTGTTTGAAGGTCCAGATGGTACATCTAAACTAGAAGATTCTGTTTCTGCTCAAAATTCTGTTGGTGCTAGCAGCATCAGTGCTTCAAGGCTTAGAAATCTGCGATTCGTTCGGGTCCCTTTGGACACGTATACTAGGGAGGAAACGTCAAGTGAAACCTCATGCCAAAGGATTACAACTTTCAAGAATATTAGTGGTTATCAAGGTTTTTTCCTTTCTGGATCAAGACCAGCTTGGTTTATGGTATTTAGAGAGCGACTGCGAGTTCATCCACAGGTAAGCTCTTGGCAATTTGAATTGCTATCTAATGATTCAAATTTGATGTCTCTTGACATTTTTACTGCCTAAGCAAGCATGGTACTTGATAAGTGCCTGTTTTTCTTTCACTTCATCTCACTCTCGTGTTGTTATATATGATTTTCTTGCAGCTATGTGATGGATCTATTGTTGCCTTCACTGTTCTTCACACTGTTAATTGTAATCATGGGCTCATTTATGTCACGTCGCAGGTTGAACAATTATAAGATTCTTATTCTCTGTTTGATGCTTTGATAGAATAAATTAGAACTTTTGAGGTTGGGTGGAATTCATTTTTCATTTTCCTATCTTACAGGGAAATTTGAAGATTTGTCACCTGTCATCTGTCTCGAGTTATGACAACTACTGGCCAGTGCAAAAGGTGCTCCTCTTTTCTCATTCATGTTTCCTCTATCATCTGTCCATATGAGAGTTGATAGTCGATTACAGGCATCAATGTGCTCATTAGAAATTTTGTTTTCTTGTTAGATTCCTTTGAAAGGAACTCCACATCAAGTGACTTATTTTGCAGAGAGGAATTTATACCCTCTCATAGTTTCAGTTCCTGTAAGTGTCTTCTCTTTCTATCTAATTTTTTCTTGCATTGCTAGTTTTTGTGAAGTGTATTTTCTTAGATCGTCAAAACAGCGTTTTTGTGGGCATAATTCTGACATGGACAGTGCCTGGTCCAAATCATATATGGCTGGTTATGGGAATTCAGTTTGGATTGTATGATAGAGAACTAAGAGAAACTTTGAGAACTGATAGTTAATTACCAAGGTGTCTTTGATTGTTAAAGACAATGTTCATATTGAAAATTTTGCTTTATTTGTTATCAAAATAGTCTTAATAGGAGTATCCTCTATTTTCCTATTTAGGTTATTTTTTACGGTGTCTTTCCCATATTTACTGGATTTGTGGATATGCAAATATATTTACGTTACATGTTCTGAATAGCAGTACAATTTCATATTGAATCATCTTGGAGCACAATCTGGATTGGTCATTTTGGTGACCCAATTTTGTTGAAGGGGGGACTGGATAAGTAAGTGTGTGTGTGTGTGTGTGTGAGAGAGAGAGAGAGAGAGAGAGAGAGTAAAAGCCTGATTGGAAGTGAGAGAGAGGAAAATAAAAGCCTGATTGGAAGTGAGAACTTGCCAGGGACCTGCAAGGATGGCGGCAGAAAGGTTTTGGGGACATATATTAATACTGACAAGCTTCAAATCTAAAACACTAGGTTGGGTAAGATAAAAAAAAAGAAAGAAAAAGAAAACAAGGTTGGGATGAGTTGATTCCTACACTGCACTTATCCTTTCTTCCAACAAAGTGTTTGCTAGCCAAAAACAGAAAAAATAGTGGGAAAGGAGAGAGAGGGAGAGAGTTGATTCCTACACTGTGCACTTATCCTTTTGGATCCATGTTCGTCTGGAGTAATCAACATCTGCTTTGCTTCCTTTATAACTTCTGTTATTGCTTGCTTCATTTACAGACTGATTTCTGAAATAAATCACTGTATTAAAGAAATGATGTTTTAGTATTCTTGGAAGTGGAATGAGTACAACTTTTATATTTGGTTAAATTTTTCACTCTCCAGTTCCCAAGTTTCACTAGCCAAAAGAAATTAAATAGTTTGTCTACATGGACATCCAAGTCTTGACTATAGTGTGGCGTAGCAACTTCTACCTGAACATGTCATACTGGCATCTTATACATTATATTGATGATGATATAGTTCTGTGTGGCCTTTTTGATTTTTTAAATGGAGCGCAGCCTGCAGCTGTAATGCCACTTTCACATTCTTCTGCAGGTTCAAAAGCCAGTAAATCAAGTTCTTTCATCACTGGTTGATCAAGAAGTTGGCCATCAGATTGAGAATCATAATTTGAGTTCTGATGAAATACACCGAACTTACAGTGTAGATGAATTTGAGATTCGGATTTTGGAACCATCTAATGGCCCTTGGCAAGTTAAGGCTACAATCCCAATGCAGACTTCTGAAAATGCATTGACTGTACGAATGGTTTCATTGTTTGTAAGTGACTTCTTCCATCCCTTCATCTACTTTGCTATTATATCTTTATAGCATCTTTTCTTTTTTATGAGAGATGGAGTGTGTGAGTGGTTGGTCGGATAATAATCCGTGTATACATTGCAACTTTCCTTGGGAGAGTGACTTTTTGAGAGAGTAAGAGAGTTTATTTTCATAAAAACAAGAAAGAAAATTCTATAACATGAAGAGAGATTCAAGGGTAAAAATGAGGTTTAGAGAGTGGAATTGTTAAAAGGAAGACGCCATGGAATATCTAAACTTCGAGAGAAGGACCATCATACCAGCTAAGCAGTGTTGACTTTTGTAACTCTAGATTGTTTTCTGATGCCATTGTTTCTGATTTTCAACATAATTATAATAAGATCCATTTTTCACTCACATAGTACCTCAACACAGAATACAAGTACAAAGGAAAATGAAACACTTTTGGCTGTTGGGACTGCTTATGTGCAAGGGGAGGATGTTGCTGCTAGAGGACGTATTCTGCTGTTTTCTGTAGTGAAAAATCCAGAAAATTCTCAGATTTTGGTATGTTTTTTGATAGTTCTCTCTTTGCTTATAAATCCTTCTGTTTTATGTTCAACTAGTTATTACATAACTAATCCACTACAGCAATCCCTTAAACCAATCTGTCTTTCAAACGTCTGCATTCATCAGTATTGATTTCATCACTGTGCTCTTCAGGTTTCAGAAGTTTATTCTAAGGAATTGAAAGGCGCTATATCTGCTTTAGCCTCACTTCAAGGGCATCTGTTGATAGCTTCTGGTCCAAAAATTATTTTACACAAGTGGACCGGTACAGAGTTGACTGGTGTTGCCTTTTCTGATGCTCCACCGTTATATGTCGTGAGCCTAAATATTGTAAGTGACACTCAACGGCAGCATCTCTTCTGAACTTTTCTTTACACAGCTATCTGTTGTAAAGTTGATTCACTTTTTTTCTGCTTGTTGCTATTGCATTTGAAAAGGAGAAAAAAATAAAATATAAGGGGTGGGGGGGATTTCAAAGATGTGAATTGTACTTTCTGATATTGATTGAATCATTTTGACCAGATTTGCTTTATCCAATAACAATGATGGGTATTTGTTAAAAACTGTTGTGTTTGGTTTGTCTTTATTACCCTTTCTCAATTTATGGAAAATAGATGGTTTTTGTCGTGAAAATTTATCCAGTGAGATTAGTTACTTCTAAGTTTAGATCAGTATTGCAGCAGGGCTCGCCAACATAACATGTTAGGTAGAAGCATTGATAGAAGCACTGCATCCTGTCTTTTTCATGTAACATATGCACCTGCTTAATGCTTTCTTTTCTACATGCAATTGCAGGTGAAGAATTTTATTCTCTTGGGTGACATCCACAAAAGCATATACTTTCTTAGTTGGAAGGAGCAGGGGGCTCAGCTCAGCTTGCTGGCGAAGGATTTTGCCTCCCTTGATTGTTTCTCAACAGAGTTTTTGATTGATGGAAGTACTTTGAGCCTTGTGGTTTCAGATGAACAAAAGAATGTTCAGGTTTGGGCTTTATCACATGTTGCTTTCATTGATGTTGTCTGATATGGTTTTTGGTTGACAGCATTAGAATGGTGAGATAAAATTATATAAATTTCAATATGATGAAAAACTTGCAAGTAGACTAGAAATTTTGATACCTTCAATATCTACTGTGAAGTTGGTTTTTATCTTAACTTCCTCTTCTGCTTTTGACTAAATCATCTTCGTTGTTCTGGAAATTTGAGTGACCTTCAGTACTGTATTCACCTTTGCCACTTCACCTGGTAAGTCCTTAACTGTATTTTTAGACAGGTGAAATCCCTTAACAGGCCATGGCTAGTCTTATCATTGCCATATTAAGGGGTGCATTATTGACTTAAAACTGTGAAGTTTCTTAGCTCAAACAGAAAATGAATGTAGAAACCTGAGCAAATTTAGATTTTGAATTGGCAGTTGTTTTGTCAAACATAATATATCTGCAACCAAAAGTAAAGATGCGACAAATATGAGGCTGGAAATTAAATTACTGCCATCATAGAATTCATGAATATACAAATCGCCAATGAATTTGAATTTTGATTACACATTGTTATGATTTTTATGCAATCTACATGCATTTCTGTTGCTAGAGATTCTTTTTGCTCATTGTTGTACTTTGAGAATATTTTTGAATGGAAACAAGGATTAGCAGAATGGGGTGAAGTTGGTTCTGTTTTCACTGATTTTCAATTTATTTTTTTTGGTGACAACAGATATTCTATTATGCACCAAAGATGTCTGAGAGTTGGAAAGGACAGAAACTGCTTTCAAGGGCTGAATTTCATGTTGGTGCCCTTGTTACTAAGTTCATGAGGTTGCAAATGCTTTCCCCTTCACTTGATCGAAGTGGTGCTGCTCCAGTTTCTGACAAGACCAATCGCTTTGCTTTACTGTTTGGTACCTTGGACGGCAGCATAGGTTGTATTGCACCTCTTGATGAGCTCACATTTCGTAGGCTGCAGTCACTGCAGAAGAAACTTGTTGATGCTGTTCCCCATGTAGCTGGTTTAAACCCAAAATCATTCCGCCAGTTCCGCTCTGATGGAAAGGCTCACCGACCTGGCCCTGAAAGCATAGTTGATTGTGAAATGCTTTCCTAGTAAGTTCGTCCTGTTAAGTTAACAACCTGATTAAATGGGGGTGGTAAAGGCTGATTAACAACTTGTTTATCTGAGGCCAAGTAAGCTTTCAATTTATAAGTAGGCCTAAGTCTTAAAGCGAGCATACTCATTTATAAGAAGTATATAACTAACCATTGACAAAGTTTCTCATTTGCGTTTGCTTCAATGAGAAATGAGAGAGATATAAATTACTACTAATACAGTTTTGGTTGGCAATCGCACCATGTTGTCAAGGCTATTTATGATCTGTTTCTTACATGATCTCATTAAATAACTAGAATGTTGGGATGGGTTGTCATTGCTGTGAATCCAGTGAATGCGAGGCATCCATAGGCTGGCATTTGCTCATGGATTGTCATCTGTCATGATTACTACTTTGTCTACCGGACTAAATCCAGATGTTCCATTTTGCAGTTATGAGATGATCCCGTTGGAGGAACAGGTTGAAATTGCCCAACAGATTGGAACAACACGTGCTCAGATTTTGTCAAATTTGAACGACCTTACTCTGGGCACAAGTTTTCTGTGACTGTAACCAGTTTAGAGGCAGGAAGTACTGCAGGGGACGATATCCTTCACAAGGGCAATCAACTGATGTGCTCAAACTACTTGGTGCCAGCGTGCTGTTCAATTCCTGGAGGAAACAATTAAATGCAAAAGCAGCAATTTGAAACTGGATCAAGATCACTCATTCAAGACCCTTGCCTTCTTGGCAGGACTGACACTGGAGCATAGCCATTGTGCATCCTTTGTATCATTGGTAATTACTGTTCTGCATTTCAATGGTTTCATGGCTTCAGCTCTAGAGAGTGGTAGCATCCAATAAGAAACGACAAATCTCAGACTTATCTGCACAATGTACTTATAGAGCTGGAATGACTCGTTTGTTGAGAATTGACCATTCAAGCTGCTAAAACGGGAAATAGATAATATCCTCTTCTTTCTGTGCACCTCCTTTTTCCACCTTGCAAAATTAAGATAATAATGGAAAAGAAGAGGGATCGCATTAATTCAATATAAAATATAAAATAATAATATAAAATAACTGGAAGCTGACTGCTATTTATTATTCAATATAAAATAAAATTATATATATATATAATTTTATTTTATATTGAATAATAAATGGTGCATATTTTATATATTTAATTTTATTTATTTATTTCTTAATAAATTTGTATGAAGATAATAGAAAATTGACTGGGATACTCGTTACCGACGGACGGACCTGCTTCTCTCAGTCTCTTCGGTATAATAAAATTAAACTCAATAAAATGTACGTTAAACTTATGAAACCCAAAAGAGCTGACTTGCAAGGATATGGCTGCTGCATCACATTTTAAGAATAGAAAAAAACACACACACACTAAATGATACAAAGTAAATAATAAAAGACCTACCTGGTTAATCATTATAATCTGGTAGATTTTTAGCAACAAGAGTGCACTAAGTAATCTAGAGAGACACACACACACTATTACTTACTCATAGAACACCCAACCCCGTCCATCTGACGATGTTGAATCCTGCCCCTAATAGAAACCATCAGACGGGGTTGTGTGTTCTATGACTGAGTAATAATGTATAAATAAATTTTATACATATGAAAGTCTTTAGCTTCATCTTCAAGTCATGTCTTGTAATAATATCGTTTTTTGAGAAAAAGGTTTCGGGTTTTTCACTCTCTAAACAGCGTAATCCAAACCTCGAGTCAATAAATTGACCCGCAAGCTCGGACCAGTCTTGTAACTAGGCCTATAAGATCCATAACCAACGCACATGTTTATTTCTCCCAACAATAATTACATGGTCCTGACCATGCAGCTAGCGGGCTAGGTGGTCCTTGGGAATGAAAAGCAAGTCCATTCCCAAAGAGAACGAAAAATAAAAATAAAAAATAGCTTCTTCCAAGAAAAAAAGTGAGGATTTAAAAGTTTAATTACAGGCATAAGCCAGGCAGGCGGTCCATACTGTCCTCTTTCACCCCTTGCTTAGGCACCTCTCCCTTCATTAACCACCATGTTTCATAAGATCCAGGAGCAAGAGAAGGCTGTTTATTTGGCTTGGCCTACTGCATGATTCTGCTTCTGTCTGTCTTCTCCAACCTCCCATAGAGAAGGGCCTTATTAATGTTATTGCTATGTGCATGCCCTTTCTCTTGCTTCATGATAATGGCCATGACACTTTTTTTAAAAGCTATCCCCTCCCATACCTTTGGCAATCTTCCTAGGGAACCTGCTGCCTCAACTTCCACACAATCTTATTATAAAATTCACCCCAGCTCTTTGATGGGAGGGATTCAAAGGTAAGATCAAACACTTCAAACAATCTTGGTCGACTTGGGATGGAACAACTAGCAATATTGTCTACCTTCTTTCTGTAAGGACAAATGTGTGGTCATTGTGTAGATTAACTGGGGAGATTCATAAATATTGCAAGTTCTGAAGCTTTCGGAAATGACTACTTGTAGATTAAAAAAAGTACGTTGAAAAGACGTGAATGATCCATTCTGTAATCCAAGTACAAAAAAATGGGAGCCATATTTTTGTAATTCAAAATCACCATACAGCATCAAACCCAGTTGAGTAAGTAAGAAAGCCTGAGAGCGGATCAATGGCTTTTTTTTTCAGCCTGCAAGTCATCCCCAAGCAGCCAGCGAATCGAAACAGGTCTCGTCAATGGACCCAATTTTGTGACACAGATTACTACAATCAAAAACTAATAATTACGTTGTCGCATGCCAAAGAATTCTCCTTCTCTTTGTCAACCACAGCCCCACTCTCCCATGTCTGGTCACATCCGCGTCTTAATTTCCACTACATTGATATTCTAGCCTCACTCTCTGTGTGATGGTTGAACTGCACTCTCCCATGGCCAGGGTATTGACAGGGACGACAATCGTAGGGCTCCATCTTCATTTATCTAAGATACAGAAGCCTTTTCACCTTCACAGTGAAGAGTACAGATATTTAATATATTTAAATATAAAAATGGAGATGACTCTTTAGCTCGATAATTTTTTTTATCATAAGTTATGTAGGGCTCCATCTTCATTTATCTAAGATACAGAAGCCTTTTCACATTCACAGTGAAGGGTACAGATATTTAATATCTTTAAATATAAAAATGGAGATGACTCTTTTGCTCGATAATTTTTTATATCATAAGTTGTGTATTTGAATGGAGGCGAAGGGTGGTGCCTCCTCCTCTATCTAGACATGGATCATCTGAGCAACTTGTTAATGCATCACATTCAATGGACCTTGAAGTGGCCCCAATCTATGGCCTTGTGCATCTCCCGAGGCTTGGAGTGTGCGCCTCTAACGGTGTTTATGACGACAGAAATACTGATGATGAGGTTCGTCTAGCACTTTAGCAAACAGCTATTTAGACATTTAAATCGAAGTTGTTTTTAAAAATTATTATTATTTAAAAAATATTGAAATAATATTTTTTTATTTTTAAAATTATTACATTAAAAAATAAAAAATAATTTAAAGTTAAAAAACCAAAATTTTCAAAAATATAATTTGACTTAAACAATATATTTACGAGAACAAACAATCTATTCAATTTCATATAAACGTAATTAATATGATTTCCATCATCATATCTCATTGTATTTTTTGTTTGTTAATGGTGTAACTCTTGTTGTTGTCGTTTGAGAATATAGGTTTAATTAAGCTGTAAATTATAGCTTTTTTCTAATCAAAGTTTTAAGATAGAATTTTCATACAAAACAATGATACATTGCTCAATAAAAAATATTTCAAATTTATGATCAGGATAAAATGTATACTGTATAATGAAATCTTAAATGCTATCTCTTTATTTTTTGTTTTTTATAACTTGGGATGTGTGGATCAACTTATATATATTGTAATTAATTTTTTGATTCACTAAATATCCTATAAACTCGGCTAATAGATAAAACATTCCAGAAATAACATGTATGCAAAGAGAAAATTGAACTTGGATGCAGAAAAAGAGAATAAATTCCTTTCCTCGCTAGACCACAACCACACTATCCCTTCATTTTAATTACTCAGTTGTTGCTTTTTTTATTTAATGACCTAACAGAAGTTAATGAATTCTAATTTGATGGATGAATTCTTTTATATATATATATTTTAAATTCATGTTTAAAATTTAAAAAAAAAAAGAGATGATAAGGTAATAACTCAATATTTTTAAATTAAATTAAGTTTAACAAATTACCAAAATCAATATTTTTGAGTTTAGTGGAGTGCTAAACTTGAAAATATATAAGTTTTGTAAATTATTAGATTCAATATCAGTTAACTCAATTAAACACTCAACCTAAATATGTATAATCCTTGCAATCCTCGTGCTAAATTAAATATTAAGTTTAAATATATATAATTTTGACAATTTTATTAAATTTTATATTAAATCATGAGATTTTGATGAGTTAAAAATTTATTCTTTTTAATATATAAAAGATGCTTTAATGCTTTTAGTAATGATTTTTTAATCTTTCCTCCTATCAAATAATAAGTATCATGATGAATAAAAGTACATTGGATCCTTGAAAGGAGGGGGGCAATCTCTTGAGGTTGAAATAATTTCTTAATACATATTTTCATTTTCTTTTTAAATTATTCTTTTATTCTTTATAAAAAAAACACATAGTTAAGTACTGGAGAGTATTAAAATCTATAAAAAAAAAAAATTACAGGTATTAATTATCAACAATTCTTGGCTTAACACACAGAGTATTAATCACTAGTTACTTTGGCAAGGAAAAAGGAATAAAATTGCTAAAATCAGGAGAATAATATTATCTAACACATAAATTTTATCTTAAGCTGCTTGAATTTCTGGATAAATCATCACAATTGATGAAGCAATAGCTTAAAGGGGTTTAGTTCGAGCAAAAAGAAACTTGAAGGTTTACAGTTAGATGATTAATGTTGTATGCTTCCATTTAATTAAGGTTTAATTCTCAAATTTGAAACGTTAGAATGTGAAAGAATAACGTTAAACATTAGAAAAACTTGAAGAGCTAAACTTGTAATTAATAAACTACACTTAAATCATCAGACTTTGTCAAAAAGCAACCTTTGATTTCTTAGAGAATAGGTTAGGCAAGATTTTTGAGACATGCCAATTTTCAATGCTGATGCTGAACGGCGGTCAAGTAAAGGTGGAAGGTTACGGAGGAGGAAGATTGGGTGGGCGTGTCTAAATCCCACAAAAAAAAAGAGAGAGGATAAATTAGGTAATTAGTATATAAAATATAATTAAACATTAAAATAAAAAGATGAAAAAGTTTAGGTGAAATAACACAATTTTTTAAAGATATTATAATTTAAAAATATAATATTTTAATAATATTGTGGTTCATAAATGCAACATTTGATACATGTTGTGCTTTAAAACCATGATAATTAATATTATGGTTCACAATTGCAACATTAATAAAAAAATATCATATTTCTAAATAACTAGATATTTGATAAAACAGTTAAATTATTACTAAAACGATATGATCATTTTTGCTATTATAAATTTTTGGATTATTTTCCTATTCTAAACCTAAATGTTTTTATAAAATTATAGTTTTTGTTAATCTAAAATTTTATTTACTTAATGAGTTTAGAGAATTAAGATATTTATTGTTTTATCAAAATTCATATAAATGTTTTTTCATAAACAATACCTAAATTTTTGTCATACTTAAAAAAACTGCATCTCCAAAAAACCACAAAAATTGCAATCAATAAATTCTAACTAAACTCTATACATTTTTATATTTCATAATCACAAATAACCTCATAAATGCATTACACACACACACTCATACATACATGAAAAATAAATATAAGATCCATTATCACATTCAGTAATCACAAATAGCCTCATAAATGCATTATATATACACATACATAAAAAATAAATATAAAACAATTCAATACTTATATAATCTTAAAATATATAAACATAATTCATCTATTTATTTATATTTACATCATCTAATAGATAATTTAGACTTATCAGAAGCACGACCGGATTCAGCTTCTATTCTTATTTGAATAGCCTCGTTTTTTATTATGACATCATCAAGAAATAGTCTCTCAACTCTCCCATAGCAAGAAATCAATCTAATATTAATAAAAAATTAATATTAAATAAAAATAAAAATACATAAAACTCAACTATTAATATATATTAATCATAAAAAAATATATTAATATATTATTTACACGATGAATATGCTCATCTTGTTACTTGTATCACGTATATATTCATATAGAGAAACTTTCTTGAGATTTGTACAACCCATAATATTATACTCATACATAAAATTATATAGTCTTCGTCAATAAGCACATGAAATATCTTTCCAAATATTTCATTTTTTTACACATTCCATTATAATATATAAATATTATAATGATTTAACAAATTATAATTATTATTTTTACCGGATGTTTAATGGTTTTTTCAAGAGAAAAATGAGGATGTTAGGGGTATTTTTTATAAAAAAAGAAATAACACTATGTGTTTGATATAGCTTTTAATTTATTTATATTTTAATTAACATCATTCTTGTAAAATACATTATTTTAAATTGTCCGACATGAATGATTGCATGATAAAAATATGATATTTATCAAATATTGCAGTTTAAATTATACCGTTTCATCAAAAAGAAATTAAATAATAATATTTTATTTATTTTTAAATTTATCGGGATAATTTTATAAAGAAAAACAACAAAATCTACGGCTGGTGCTAGCTTTTACATGCAGAAAACGACAGAGAGTAATAATGATGAGAGAGGGTTCGCTTTTACTAACTTGTCTACTACTACTGCCCGCCTCAAGATTGCGAATGTTGGAAGCACGGAAGCAAAGCAAAGGCTAAGAATGGCGGCAACCCATTCCTCTATCATCAAATCCCACATCAAGCCTAAATGACTCCACCCCACCCACTAGAGAGATACAGAGAGAATTTTTTTCTCCTTCAGAAATAAAGATAAGCCCCCTATATGCTTGAAATTAAATACATGGGGCAAAAGAAGGTGGTCTAGCTTGCTTTGGTATCTTTAAAAAGAAAGCCCCATAAGCAAGAAAATTGGAGAAGGTTGAAATTTGTGTACAAGAAAGGTTCTTGTGGTTTGTTTTATGGAAAAAGGGGATTTCCTAAATTGACAAAAAAAAATTGTTCTTTGTTTTTCATTATGATGACAACAGATGGTGGCTTAAACGTTTCAAACAAGGTAGCCAAGGAAATAAACACCACTAGTAGTAGCAGTAATGTTGATTATGGTGTGAAGCTACATCAACCTATTGATCATCATCAATCATTTCCTTCTAGTACTCCTATGATAGTTCCTCATGTTAATCACCACCGTCCACTGTTTGACAAGGGTCCCACATCATCATGTGATAGAAACAAGTCTTTGATGAGCAATATAAGTGATCGTATGTACCGTGTTGTTGCTGGTGGTGCTACCAGTGGCGGTGTAGCTGGGGTTAGGAATTTTAAGCCTTTTGACATTTCTGAAACAAGCATCTATACAGCAGCTTCTCCCTTCAGATCCCCAGGTTGTGGAAAAATTTCTCTCCTTTTCCTTCCAATAAGTGTATTATCCACTTCTAGCTGTTTTTCCTTTTTAGTGTCTCTCTCATTTTCTCTGTTCAACTTTCAAAGATTAGACCTTAATGAGAGCAAGAGTCAAGGTTTGTGTGGACTGACAAAAACAATGAATTCTTTTGCTAAGTGCAGGAGGCAATATGGCAGCGTCTTTGGGGGTTCCTTTTACAAATACACAGTGGAAAGAGCTTGAAAGACAAGCCATGATATACAACTATATAACGGCCTCAGTCCCTGTGCCTCCTCAATTTCTAATTTCAACCCCAAGAAGTAACGCTAAACCTCTCAACATCTTTTCTTTTTTTCTTGATGAATAAATATTCTTGGTTTGGTGGGTTATTCATAAGTACATCCAAGTTGCAATCTTTGTGGTTAATTTTTGCTATTTTGAGCACATGCAGTGGGGAATGGATTGAATGTAAGGTTCTCAAATGGGGCAGATCTAGAGCCAGGGAGGTGTAGGAGAACAGATGGGAAGAAATGGAGGTGCTCAAGAGATGTGGCACCTGATCAGAAATACTGTGAGCGTCATATGCATAGAGGCAGACCCCGTTCAAGAAAGCATGTGGAACTCAATGCAAGCAATAACAACAACAAGAAGAACCGCCATAATCCTGCTATTTGTCCAGAAGCTCATGTTACCGTAGCCATTTCTAAACCCACTATAAACAACAGCAACAGTGGCTCTGCCTCTCACGATCAGTTTTTTGGGCCTATGCCTCAGCCACATATCCAGACCCCAGTTTTTGTAAACAAAACCAGCGAGAAGACTTCAACTTTTGATGTTAATGGAGCCTATGGTTCCACATTCAAGGAACCCAGGTTGGTTTGATCTTTAGATTTTAGTAATTAGACATTATTTTGAGGGAAATCTACACTGTGATTTGCGAAACTGGTTTGTTTTTTCTTGTTCCCTTGGTTAGTTCCTAATTTTTGGTGATTTTGTGCTTAAGGAGCTTGGACTGGATGTTGAAAGGGGAAGGTGGTCCAATAGCCAAAAATGATCAACAATGGCCACATCTAGTGCACAAAGAAATTGAACTAGCTCCTGAAGGTTCCTTTAACTGTGCTTCTGTTCTCAAACAGCATTACCAAGGAGAGTCTTTGAATTTGAACTCATTTGGAAATTTTAATTCTAGAGAAGACCAACAAAGCAATCAATATAGTCTGTTTCTTGATGAGGCTCCAAGGAGTTTTACTGATGCATGGTCTAATGATGCAATTTCTAGAAGCACAAGTTCTGTTTCGTCAGATGGGAAGCTCCATCTTTCCCCCCTCAGTCTATCAATGGGAAGCAATAGGTCTGCAGATGATGAAATGGGTCAGATCCAAATGGGTTTGGGCCTGATCAAATCAGATCGAAATCAAGAATGTGGCAACACCAGCAGCACCCCAGGTGGCCCCTTGGCAGAGGTGTTACAACTGAGGACAAGCAACACCACAGGAACCAATCAATCTTCTTCTATGATGGAAAATGGTGAGTCTATTAGTCCTCCAGCTACTACAGTCTCTTCTCCATCTGGGGTCTTGCAGAAAACACTTGCCTCGTTTTCTGATAGCAGTGGTAATAGCAGTCCAACTCTTGCCAGTTCAAGGACCAAACCTGAAATTGCCATGCTTTGGTTAAATCAAGGCTAAGTTTGCCACTTTCTAGTTAGTTAAGGGCACAACGCCACAGGGGCAATATATATTTTTATAAGCTTGATATATTTTTATGGTTTTGGTGGTTCTTGAATTAGTTGGTTATTTTGTGACCTCTTGAAGTATGTCTTTTGAACGACTAAATGGAGTTTTGTTTAGATTATGTGTGGTGCTGTAGGAAGAAGCATGTAGAGTTGATGATGTTTTGTCCTTTTGCTCTTGGAAATGAAGGTGGGCTCTTCTTCTGTTATTAGTGAGGGAGACTTGCCAAGCTCTCTTTATCGGAAAATATCTTCTCTTTGATCGTGCTTTTTGACTTGATGAGGACATCTCCCCCGCCTGTTCTGTGTCCATCAGTGCTCACATTTTCAAGCTGTTTTAGCTATGATTAAGTTGTACCATGATTCTTTGTGGTGGAGCAACCAAGAAAGTGTTCCCAAACTTCTTATCTCTGGTTGTTTAGTTTACATGGTGGAGCATCCGAAGTTTATTATAAAACATCTGAATCGTTAAGACTTGAACTAACTTCATCGGAAATAATCTGTGAAGTCCAAACTTTGCTGTGCTTGGAACATGACAAAACACAAATGGATGGTGTTAAGCATGAGATGCTTATGTTTTCTCTTTCGGGCATGCAAAGTGTCTTGGAAAATTGGATTTTACATCATCCAGGTTTAAACTCATCGGTGCTTATGAAGCAAAGTTGCCTCTGGCGTCTAATAATTGATGCTTGTCTCAAATCGTTTGTTTTCAACAGTTTTCATGTTTCGAAAGGGTTTTTTTAAAAAAAAAAAATATTTGAAGTATTTTTTTTTATTTTAGTATTTTCAATGTTATGTGAAAAATAAATTTTAAAAAATTATTTTAATATATTTTTAAATAAAAAATATTTTAAAAAAACAATACTAAATTTTTTTTGTGTAGCTTAAGATCATTTTTTTTTTATTTACGTGGGGTGTCCGGGCCAGCTTACATGCACCATGACTAATCTCCACGGTCCACTTAACATCCTGCAAGCCCAGTGAGCAGGTAAGGTATCGCGGGGGTGACAGACGTGCATGATGAGGTTTGAATTCAGGTGCGAAGGAAGGGGACAAGCTTCTCCCACCGTTAGGTCAGAACCTCACTTACGTGAAAAATTATTTTAATATATTTTTAAATAAAAAATATTTTAAAAAAACAATACTAAATTTTTTTTGTGTAGCTTAAGATCATTATTTGGGGTTGTGATGTCCTTAAATTTGACTACTTCTGGCTATAACATATTGAGCTGTAACTTTTTCTATCATAATCTGAATTTTAAATCCATGACTAGTAATCAGTAGTAATGTTAAATTCATGACTAGTAATAAGTAGTGTTAAAAGGATATTTTATCTATGCTAAACTTTAGAATAAACATATTAAAAAAATAAGTTATTTAAAAATATGCAATACTTTAGAATCTTTCAAAATATTTATTTATAATCAATTTATTTATTTATTTATATTACATAAATATTAAAAATCATTTTACTCACTAGAAAAAAAAATAAAAAACAAATGAATGTAAAACTAAACATTACTGAAGATTGTTAAGAGAGAAATGTCAATAAAATCTATAATAAATATAAAAAAAAATAAAAAATAATTTAAAACATAGTAACATATAAGATTAAACTTTAAATTTAAATCTCAAAACATAAATATAATGGTAAATTGTTTTACTATATCAAATATATATATATAACTTAAATTAATCAAACCCAACAAAACCAATAAAACACTATTTTCAAATCAACTAATCAACCATTATAAAAACCATCTAGTCGGTTGAGTAGTCAAGATCTTTATAATTCCATTCAACCTGTAAACCTCATTTTGCATAACTAGATGATATATTCTTTTAAAACTCATCATTTCAGCCATCAAATCAATTTATTTTAAGTCAAATAACACTCTAATATTTCAATTATAATTTCAAGACTGAACAATCATCATATTCATAACAAAAACATAATCTTTCTTCTTTTTCTTAAAATTTTTCTATAATCAAATCATAAGAAAAAATAACATGAACCTTTCTTGAATCAACTAAAGCTTTAAAAAACGAAAACCCTTTGCAAACAGGAGTGGAAATCACGATAGGGAGAAGAAAAAACAGGGGGAAAAAGGCAAACAATGCTCTTAGCTACTTTTTTAAAAATTATTCAGGTCAGTTTAGATGGATTTGGATTTAGTCTTACACTTTCCTGCTTTCTTCCCCACAAGCTTGTGAGCTCTGAACGCCGAAGTCCTCAAGGAAACATGAAGAAATGAAAAGGGCCCAATATTTTATTTCCTTGAAGAGGGGTTGGAAGGAAGCAAAGCCCATTTGTTGGTGCCACAACTATGCCGCAAGAAAACAAAGACGACATAGCATGTTGTTGAGGAAACAAGCCCTCAAGAACTGCAGCCATCGAAGAAGACTTGGGACGTGTGAGAAGTAATTTCTTATAAAGTATAGATTAGAGATGGAGGATGTATTTCGTAATATATTTTGATTTGTGTTTAAAAATGTTTTTTTTAATGGATTTAAACTTGAAAGGTATTGAATTGGTGATTTTCAAATGATTTTTTTAATAATTTTAATATATTAAAAAAATATGTAAAAAAGTGCTAAACTTCATGTTTTTTCAACTTAAAAACACCTTTATAAAAACAAATATACTTAAGATATGAATCACGTAGATGAAATAACTGGCTTTTAAATTGTTTAAAACATATTAATACTAAAATACTATTGATATTTAATAATTGTACAATTGATGTACATACGTGAAAATAATAATTTAATGTTAAGGGAAAAAACAATTTTTTAGATAAATTACATTTAGATTTTATTCTCCCAAAAATAAAAATAAACCTTGTTATGAATAAAGATACACTTCTTTAAATAATTATTTATATTTAATTATTCATATTTAAAATTAAAAATTTACTTGCAACGATATATATAAAATAAAATATATATTTGGACGTGTGCAACCTTTCTTTTCTGTTCTTTAAGATGAGCATCATGACAAGCGCAGTGAGAAAGTAACTTCTGCGTGTTGTTATTTCCTTTTCTTTATCGATTTCTTCGCAAGGAATTGCCACTTCTTCCAACTGGGAAGCCTCCCCCTTCATCGCTCATCTCGACAACTCTTCTTCAAGCAAATGCTTTCACCTAAATCAATGAGATTTGCTGCATGGTTTTAGATTCCTGGGTTTAAAAAGGAAGGGAGGATGCTCCATGCCGAAATTCTATACCGACTTGCTAAATTCTTCTTTCTTTTCTTCACAAGTAAGAGGATCCTTTTAGTTTAGTCATCTTGATCTATTAGAAGTAGGGAAAAGTATTAATAAGTTTGAGATTAAGTGCTTGTACATAAATAAAAAATTGTCATGTGGTTTTAAAATTTCAACTTTTTTCATAAATTTTCACCCCTGCAAGGACTCCTGCACCGGCTCTGCTGCCTGGAATTCCCGCTGCTGCTGCCGATTCTTTGCGCTGTTTTCTAGCCATCCTAAGTCCTTATCAGTCACCTTAGACCTGAAGTTTCATTTCACGAACTAGTCAGGAAAGAAACTTGATTTCATCCATAGTCTCGGCACACATTCTTCCTTCAGAATTAGAAATTTCAGATATATTTGAGCTCAAAAACTCTAATGCGCATGTCTTAACATACAAGTTGTTATGTGCTTGATGATGCCACTGTTTTGTGGATTTTCATTTAATTTCCGGTTCTTAAAGTTTACTAGCTCAAGTTGTGATGGGCTCGATGATGCTACTGTTTTGTAAACTTTATCAATTCATTGATTGCTTTCACCCAATGCGACATGCAATAATTGTTTATATTAACTCCAGTATATTATTGTTTTATGAAATCATTCCTAGGGTTAATTATTTATAAAATATATGTAAATAATTGGTGTCAATCGTACGTCAAATATCAAGTTTCTTCTTCAGACTAAAAAAAAGCACATATACCTCTCTCTCTCTCTCTATATATATATATATATGTATATATATATGTATATATGGTATGAAATTTTAGATTGAAGAAATTTTGATGGGCTTGGAGGAGATTCTTTGTGTTCCAGAGATTTAAAAGCAAGAGTGGACACTGAAACAATAACCATTAGCAACAAACAGTGGGATTTCAGCCTGAAACAATTGGAATGATTTCTATGTATTATTATTTTTTCCAAAGTCCCTCAACTTGCCTTTGTTTGAGTTTTGTTTTTGATGCAAGGTGGGACTTCGTTATATTTATATTTTATATACTATACGGAGGTGACAGACAGAGGTGAAGAGCAACAAAACTTAGCACTACTAAAAGGGGTTTCTTCGATATCTGCATGCGTCTTGTAGTTTGCAACATGGAATACATTGGATCCCTGTTCATGTTAATGCATGCTTTGATGGCTCTAACTTTGATATGGATAAAAGCCAAGAGAATCTTTGCCTTGCCTACACTTAAATATTATAAGAGTCTACTGTAGCCTAGTGCAACAAGTCAATGACATAAAGTCACTGAAAAAGGAAACAACATGCAAGGCATTAACTTCCCTTTTCTCTAGCTATATATATACAATATAATATGTGATTTTGTTTCCCTTGAAAGTTAGCCGTTAGGAAGGAAAATCATAACAATGACTGAGTTGCAGTGAACTCACTTGCCAAATTTATCATACAATGAATTTAATGTTGCACTCACAGTCACAGCCATCGTCTGCTAGCTAGCTAAATTACTGATTGCAATTAGTAGAATGGACAAAGTGGGGCATTTGGTTCCTACAATCAAGCTGGAGATTTTGAGTTCTTAATGGCATCTCTGACTAAATTAATGCTTAAGATATGTCTCCATCAAACCAATAATGTACTTGGTTTTTTCAAGGTTGCATCAGCATTGATAAAGGCAGTGCATAATACTATAAAAGCTGCTGAAAGACTGATGTGCATTGGTTCAATTCCCTCAAGATCTACTAGGGTTATTCTGATGATGAACATATTACATTTTTTATTCTCCTTTCAACTTCAACTAACTCCAGTTCTAACATCTTCAATGCAATCATAACTTAGTCGTTTATGTTTGAAAATTTATAACTTAATCCTTTGCCTCTTGTTGACCGTTCTCTCTTATTGAAAACGTTCGTCGGTTTTATTAATCTCTAATGTACTTGCTGAAAATTTAAACTCTCAGAGAAAAACCAACAGAGCGAGAGGTTAGAGAGAAGACCTATTGATAGGTCGCGGTCAACAAGGAGCAACGGACTTCTTTATATGTTTTCAACTATGAAGGACTAAGTTATGACTTCATTCAACACACAGGGACTCAGGAATAACTCACTGCAAATAATGGCTTACCTTAACCACCTGCTTAGATCATTAGTTGGAGGAGGAGAGACCTCATCATCAATGCTGTCTGTGTAACAAGAAGACATGTTAGACCTTTGCTCCATTACCATATTGGCTCCATGAATGCCCTTCAAACTTGGGCTCCTCAGGTTATAATCATTAACCATGGAACCCTCATTGCTAGTTGCCGGATCAGGCACTGGAAAAGACAGGCGTTTTTTGGCTGAACCTGATATTTCTCTTTCCGGGGTTGAAGCTCTCGGCCTTGGTGCGCTTTGTGATCGAATTCTTGCCTTGGCAGATGCAGTGGCAGCCATGTAGTTGGGCTTTGAAGTAGCGGATGGAGTAGTTTCTCCCATTACATGGTTTCTGCTTTCTCTTAGGAAACGAGGACTGGATGAATGGACTTGAAGTAGTGTTCTTGTTTTGGATAGGGATGGTGTGGTTGGTTGTGAGAGATTGTAGTGGTTTTTCTGAAGAGGAGAGGTAACTGAATATGAACTAGGCCTGTGTTGTTGGTAGTGATAATGTTGATGCAGTTTATGAGCATTAGGGGATGAGTAAGAGTAAGGTCTAGAGGTGTCCATTTCAACAGTTTTGACAGGGTCTCTGCTGTGATATTGATCACGGAATGCAATCCCTCTTCCCTCCCAGTCCTTTATCGTTCCCCTCCTTTCAAGCCATCTTGGGTTCTTTTCTACCTCTCCTTCACTTGCATATGAGTCTCTTCCTGGTCTCCATATCTAACATTAATGCAGGAATTTTAATCGAATGATCGATAACTTGCCATTGCCGACCAAAGTAAAAGGAACTAGCAGATCAAATTAAGGGCAAGGAAAGTGGTCAAATTAAAACCTGTTGAGAGAAAGCATAAGCAAGAGCCTTTTCACGTTTCAAGGAAACCATTTCCTTCTTTTCCTGGAACATTGGCTGAATTTCCTCGAGTGTTTTAGGATGGTAATTGCGATGAAACCAATCATCAGCAGTGCTGCTTCCATCCCAACACTGCAGTTCATTGTTAAGAACCAAATCAAAACAAGCTGAAGCATGATGTACACATATCTTAAACAAAATTTCTTACAGTAGATTTCCTCTCAGCAAGATTTGATCCCCGAAAACTATTTTGATCACTGGAGATGGAGTTTGTGTTGCCTTCATAGGAAAGCCTTCTACGCTGTTCACACACCCGAGATTGCACCCTCGCCATAGCTTGCATGCACTGAAGAGTCATTTTTGCTCTCTTTCTAACATTATGGCCTCTCACTAAGGCTTGCAGCTTCACTAACCCCTTAAGTGCTTTAAGAGCTCGCTTTGCCTTCAAAAACACAACCAGAATTAATTAGAAATAAAAGCTCTTAAGATTAAGAGATATATAATTATTTCTCTTTACTGATGATCTCTTGTTGATTACTTACCAGATATCCTCTAAAAGCTGTTTGTATAGCAATGGCAGCAAAGTGTTGCTTGACAAAAAGGGGAGGCCTGGTGAGTCTAACAACTTCAACAGCTGCTTGGGCTGTCGCAACTGCTGCTTGTGCAGCTGCCGTTGTAGCCATGGCCACTGCAAGGGCATGTCTTTGCTGAGCATCAGCAGCTTCAGAACTAATACTATTATTAGCAGCAACCGCAGCAGCAGCATTGGTGGTTGCTGTAATATTGTTAGTGGCGTTTGCTTCACAATGGTGTATCACTGTTTCTTGATTTGAAAATTTCCTGAAAATCCATCTTCTTTTCCCTCTCTTCTGCACAAATTAACCCATAAAACAGAAACATTTTTCATGTCAATAAGCTATTGTATTACAAAGGAATTACTAATCAAGAATAGAATTTTCACCTTTTCTTCCTCCTCTTGTTCATGATCTTCTCTCCTTCTGCTGCTTCTCTTATCATTCTCTTTACTAGGAGACCGAAAAGCCCTCTTAACTGCACTCAGCCAAGAACTTCCTCCAATCTTCCCCATGATGCAAACGATAGTACGTACTAAAGCAAAAAACTTGGCTAGATATAAAGGCAAAAAAAAGAAGTCTAGAGCTACCTACACAGATTTGAGTGGTTGGTATGTTTAAATGCAAGATGCACAGAGAAATAAATGTAAAGAACAAATAATTTAGCCTGCATTCTGCAAGAAGGGTAGAGCTAGTCCATGCATTTGGGAACAGGTTCTGTGCATTGTCTATAATGCAAAAATGCAAAAGGTTAAAAATAAAATGGACATGGGATACAATGCTAAAAAGAAATGGTGTTTTCTTGTGGCATGGAGAGCCCTAAATAGTTCTGTGTCAGACAGTTGGAGACAACATCAAAGAGTGGGTACCCTCGAGAAGTGTTAATTTTACCTTAGTCCCTGTAGTCTATCTCACGAAATATCTAGTCCCTATACTATCAAAACTAAATAAATAGTTCTTTGTCTAAAACTGACCATGCATAATTTATAAGCTTCTTGTTCCAAAAAACCACACCATTAACACTGTATCTAGTGTTTTCTTTTTCCAAGCATTTCATGAGAAAGAAAAGGGAAATAAAGTGGGAAAGAATGGTTTTAAATATACAGGGATTAAATATTGAATTTCTAAAATGTTGAGGATGGATCGATTTATTTTGTTAAAATATAGGGTCTGATTTATAATTAACTCCCTCGAGAACGCTGAAAGCTGGTTAGTGTTTCCTATAGTGAAAGAAAAGAGAGGAGGAGCGGGCAGTTGCTGCTTTGCTGTGCTATGCTTTTGCTTTGTTTGTTTTATTTATTTATTTACCACCATGGTTGCTTTCAACATGATTACATTGCTGGTTTTGGGGAGTTGGGATTTGTGGGAAGAGGAGAACAATATGTTTTATTCTAGTGATCTTCCAATGGGGATGAAGTAAGTAGGATATTCAGGGCTGTTGTGGTCATTTTCTAGGCAGTGTGGCAAGAGCCCTTGTGACCAGCTATATTGGGATTTGGCTGTGGAGAATTTGGGGACTCAAATGTATACCTACCCTAGTTTAGGGTATGGGTATAGGGATTAGGGTACTAGTAGTAGTGGAAGTAGACCTTGTTTATTGCTTGAAAGATACTGTTTGTCCCATATCCAAGGACCAGTCAAACAGTTATAAATCTTCACTCAGCCTTCTCCTTTTCTTTTACTTTGCCCAAGCCATTTATGGAGATTTTGGTTATGGGAAAGATGGTGACAAACAGGGAAAGGGACTTGTGAGTTAAGACTCAATGAGATGCTAAAACATTAAGTGCCTTGGATTCTCTGATTTGTGTAGGGTGATTGCCTCATGTGGGACATGATAAATTTACTTGTGATTCACTGATATTTCACTGGGTTGGAATTCATCATTGCTGCTCAAGAACAACGACAGTCGACACTTTCTGGATGTCTTCAACGTTAACTCTGTATATATGACCTAGTTTTAAGTCATGTAAAATGACAATTCAAAGAACCTTTATTTGATTTGATGTTTTTTTGAATTTTAAAAACATGTTTACCGTCGATGCTTCTCTTTTACCTTTAACGTGTCTGTCATTGTGATGAAAACAAGATTTGTTTAGAATTTTAAACAATAAAGGATTATAATATTTATTTTTGAAGTCTCTAAAATTATATATATATTAAAAGTATTGTAATATAAGTCTGAAAGAACCATGCTTCAATTCCTACCTTCTTGCCTGGTTTTTCTAACACTTACAGATATTGGTATCTCCTTTCCTGGGAGTTCGAATAAGAACTCGTGAAATCATTCGCGCAATCTATATATTTGTTTGAGATATATTTGACGGGTACCCAAAGGTGTGTATCCAAGTTTTTCATCATAAAAAAAATATAAAAAAAATTATACAATGATTTTGATTTTGAGAAAATATAATAAAAATTAAGATAATATCTTTTTTATCGAAAAGAATAGGTTAGTTACAGTTCTTCAACATGATTAACTGAGAGAGTTTGTCCAAAGATGGGATGGGATTGCTATTCAAGACTTCCTCTGTAGTGTTTAGGGTTTAGGATCCTATATATATTGATTATATTCAGCGAGAATCTACTGTACATAAAATAGGCTGTACTGATAGGAAACATAAAATCCAGTGAAGGATACTGTACTGAGAATACCACCATTTTCTTGTGGACCAAAGCCAAGGTTCTGTTCCAAAGCAACCACAAGGGAATAATCCAAGTTCAAAGAGATGTCACTGGTGTCTAAAATCATGTGGGCTTGGATCATGAACCAAAAGACAATTGGGCTACAATTCACACACTGTTACATCCCACAAAGCCTGCCCATGTACAGCAAGATACAAGGATGTTTCCCGAAGCAATTAGAAAAGCACTCGAAGTAGAAAATCTAGTATGGATGATGTTTGATGATGACAAAACTCTAGGTGTTTCTTTGAGTTAGCCCGAGAACTCTCAAACTTTCAAGACTCTTCTCCATGCTTCCCTTCTCTCTTTTGCCCCCTAGCTCTATATATTCACAATCCCAAGCTCCGTAATCAGCATATCTAGAAAGCAAACAATTGTCTAGAGCCGCCACTTCCACAAGCCACAGTTTCTTTTGTTGTCACTTTGTGCGTTTTTTTTTTACTTAGCAATGGCTTCGTCAACATTGTCCTGGTCATCTGCACCTTTGTTGTCAAGCAAAGGCGAAGTTGTGCCTTCAACTAAGCCTACTCCTTGCTCAGTGTCCTTTCCATCAAGGGGTGGCTTTGGCAAGAGTATTAGTAAGCCTTCAAGGTTGGCTTTGGTGAGAGCAGAAGCTGCTGGTGATCAGAAGGATACTTCAGTGGCCGTGCATGTCAATCAGCAAGGAAACAACCAAGGGGCAGCAGTTGAGAGAAGGCCTCGAAAATTAGCTGTTGATGTCTCCCCATTCGGTAAGTAGTCTTTCCTCCTCTTTTTTCTCCTTTCCGAACGATCTTAAATATGCTCGATCAGGCCTAGTTATGAAGACTCTTCAGTTAAACTATTTGTCGTTGTTGCAGTGATTCTGAACAACAAAAATAATAAAAGATAATGCTTGTGTTTAAGAAGAGATTGATGAATGAAAAGCTTAAATATTTTATTCATAATTGTAGCTCAATTTATAGAGCTGATACATAACAAACTCCTACGATCATAGTCCTATATTTAAGCCATAATCAATTAATAATGGAAATAATAGAGCGGCGAAATAGTAGCAAGAACAAGAAAATAGGAACAGAATTGACTAAATCAAAAATTAAAGAAAGAATAAAATTCTAGCTCAGCAATCCTGAACATTATTTCTAATATTATTTAATTAGTTTTCTTAAGCAGGAAAATTTATCCATCTTTTTTAAATGTTGAACATATGCAATGGAAAAAATGATCTGAAATGACTTGAAACTTGACCTCAATCACAGGTTTGTTGGATCCATGGTCACCAATGAGGACAATGCGTCAAATGCTGGACACAATGGACCGACTGTTCGATGATGCACTGACAATTCCTAGCAGTAGGAACAGGGGAGGAGGAGTGGTGCGGGCACCATGGGAAATCAAAGATGAGGAGCATGAGATCAAGATGAGGTTTGACATGCCAGGACTGTCTAAGGAGGATGTCAAGGTCTCAGTCGAGGATGATGTGCTTGTTATTAAAGCAGAGCACAAGAAGGAAGAAACTGGCGATGATTCATGGTCTAGTAGCAGCGTCAGCTCTTATGATACCCGGCTTAGGCTACCGGATAATTGCGGAAAGGATAAGATCAAGGCTGAGTTGAAAAATGGAGTCCTCTTCATTAACATTCCGAAGACCAAAGTTGAACCTAAGGTCATTGATGTACAAATCCAGTGAAAGATTTTATAAGAAGTCTGTACCATGTATAGTGCTTTTGTTTTGAAAGAACTTTCAGTCCTTGTATCATATTTGAAAATGTAATGTCTTAGCTTCTTATCTTTCTCAATTATTGCCTATGTTGCTTCCCTCGGACAACGGACAACCATATCCGATACGAGGAGAAATCTGATGTTCTAAATATATAGAAGAAATTAAGAAAAAAATGGATATTTGTGTGGGATATGCACACGCATCTATGTTACATAATAATCTGGTATAGATTTAGATTCAGTGTTTAAACAATATGAACAACTATGAAAACACTTGATCATCTCTTATGCTCAAATGTTGGAACATTTCTGCGAAAGTAAGAAAGGAACCATTCGAGCTAGAGTCAAACTAATACGGGATGGGTAGAGGAGAGAGGAAAGACAATAATGCAACTCTTCTCGTGAAAATTTTTCTCTAATCCCTTAACTTGGAAGGAAAGACAACCTACAACTTGGTAATTAATGTTCAATATTCTCTTAGAAGTTCCTTTCATTTAATGTTTAATTTTTTAAAAGTGATTTTTTAAAAATTATTTTTAAATTATTTTTAAATTTGTTTTTTATTAGAAAAGGTGATCACTGAAAAACACTTTCCGATCAAAGAAAATTTTAGTTTAGTTTCTAAAAAATTGTTTTTCTGAAAAATTAAGGTAAAAAATACTTTCTGGAAAATGTGAAAAATTTAAAAATATTATAATATTTGTTAATTATATTAAATTTGATCCTTAAATTTTTAATTGCTATATATATTTTATTTTGAATATTTATTATTTAATTTCATCTCTTAAAATTTAATTTTTATATTAATTTTGGTCCTTATTTTTATAATTGTTATTTATTTTTTCTTATTATTTTTTATTGAAATTTTTTATTTATTAAATTTGATTTTTATTTTTTTTATTGTTACTTATTTTATTTGAAATAATTTATGAAATGTTAATATTATTATTTTTATTTTTTATTTTTTAGATTTGATCTCTATTATTTTAATTATTATTTATTTTATTTGAGATAATTTATGAAATTATATTTTTTTCAATTCATTCTCATTTAATTTTTTAATTTATAAAATTTATTCCTCATTATTTTAATAAACTCAAGAAAAATAAAATATTAATAAGTTATTTTTCAACTCATTTTTCATAACATAACCAAACACTAGAAAATATTTTTTAATTTATTTTTCATTACCCTACTAAATATTAAAAAATAATTCAAAATTTACTTAAAAAAAAAAAAACTAATTTCCAGCTATCGTTTCATTTCCCCCCAACGTGATAATATTGCTTTCCAATATGACGACTATCATCTCGGGATTTTGTTTCTTCTGCTCGACATTTGAATTGGCATGTAGTGCCTGGTTGATCGAGGACTGCCCATGATGGTCTAAACAGGATTTTAGGTAATGTTTGGATATTATCTTGAAATATATAGAAAAAACGAAACATTGAGACAGAAGAGATATGTCTTGTTATGAAATGATAAAATTTACTCCAAAACATGTATCTGTCTTTTTTATTTTATTTTTGTCCACACTAACCAAAATCAGCATTGGTATGCATCATGCACGCGGAAAGGGGGGCCATGCGGACCAGATGAACCAATAATTCTCAGGTAATAAGCTTTCAGCATGAAAATAGCAGAAATATATCAGATAATCATCTCCTACTTTCTATTTCAAGAAATTAATCCAGGAAGAACACGTTGAGAACGGAATAGACGAGAATCATTCAAGATTCTGTTGGAGAATTCTTCCTAAATTGCTTATCTTTTTTTATTTTTACATCTTCTCCATCTTTGGCAAAGCAATAAGGACATCTGCATGCATGATAACTTCGTAATTGTTAGATACACAAGACAAAATCCAGAACCTGAAGTGTACATTCCGAAGCTATACTACTCAGACCCTTCAGGAATTGGTTCCAGATTTGACTTCCAGTTTCTTGGAGAATTCTTCCTATATTGCTTCTCTTTTTTCGTTTTTACATCTTCTCCATCTTTGGCAAAGTAATAAGGACATCTGCATGCATGATAACTTCGTAATTGTTAGATACACAAGACAAAATCCAGAACCTGAAGTGTACATTCCGAAGCTATACTACTCAGACCCTTCAGGAATTGGTTCCAGATTTGACTTCCAGTTTCTTGGAGAATCAAGAGAAGAACTTTTCTGCTCTAGCCCCAACAGAACCTCCTCAACAGATATTTCCTTTGTCAAAAGGTGTTGAAGTTGTTGCTTTGTGATAACTACTTTAATCTTCTTGACACCTCCACTGGCTTGATCTTCTCTGACGTCAATCACAGGTGAAATCACTGGAGCTGAAGGAAGAATATAGTAAACATTCCCGAGCTTTAACTCGTAACCTGGTGGCAGATGATGCTCTATATCCTCCTGTGTGAGACCAATTCCTGAGCCAGAATAGTTCACCAAGATATCTCTCACAAGAATTGGAGTGCTGAATTCCAAAACCTTTCCATCTGTTTTCACGACCTGCAAAACTTTCTCTTGATTGGCTTCAGCAATTCTAATGCATGAACCTATAGAGGGAGGTCTAACACAAGGAGCTAAACAACTGCCCATTTTTCTCCAAGAAAAGATGGACATGGAAGTTTCAAAAGATTTCAAGAGGAGAAGAGGGATTTCCTCTACTTTGTTGCATGCAATGAAGGGAGAGATATGGAAAAATTGAATTTAGAAAGGATAAAAGAGAAGCAATGAGACATTTATTTTTTTAAGAAAGCAAGAGAGATATAAAAACTGTCAACGCGCATGCAAGACAGGGTCGGTCAGTGGAAGTTGGCATTTTAGTCTCGCTCTTCTTCCATGCTATTACCTTTCATTTTATGCATCTAGAAGCGAAGCTCGAAAAAAAATATTTTTTCAAAATATATCAGATGTAAAAAATATAGCTTTAAAATTATTTTTAAAAAATAATATTGATTAATGTAAAATGATTTGAGGAGATTAAAAATAATAAACTCACTTTGTTATCAATTTTACAATTGGTAAAATGACGTAATGCAAGATTTAGTCACTGTTTTTGCATTTGAAATTATATTTAGGTGCATTAAAACAATATATTGAAAAATATTATTTTTATATTTTTGATATACTGATATAAAAAATAAATAAAATCTAAAAATAATATTGTAATATATTTTCAAACAAAAAACACTTTTAAAAAACATAATGCATCACAATATTAAACACACAATCAATACTGCAAACAAGTGGCACTGCATAATGTTAGTGAATATACCTTGTAGCCAATCATTTGGATACACATAGCACTGATTTTTTTAATATAAAAACATATTTATTATTAATAAGAGCTTTTTTATCTTTAATATTCATTTATATTTTTTTAATTAATCTAATATTTAATTAATGAATCTAGAGTAAATATATATTTCATAAGATAAAAATACTTTGTAAAAAAAATTATAAAGTTGTTATAATTATAAGATTCTTATTATATTGAATTATTGTTATTAAATAATCAAAGAATTTACAATTAATACTATTTGAAAATATATGAAATATTTTTTCTAATTCACATAGGGTTATAAATCTTCTTTTAATTACTCAAATATTTTCATATAGTTTATATTATACCAAATATTTACTTCTTTGTTACCCTTGATTAAGATCACATTTGGTCATGATTAAAACATAATACTTCTTATATAAGATAACTTAATGATCTCAAGTCTAAGAATCACTTACACAATTATTACATGATCCTTTCTATACACACACTTTATATCTCCATATAAGATTCTTTTACAGGTCAATTTTGTATACATATCATCTGATAAGCACCATATTATTTCTAGATATTTTGTGTACTTTAGTCTATGAGAGAAGTTGTTTCTTTCATAAAGGAATAAACATAATATATATCGACCTTAACAAAGTGGAATGAGTTTTGAAAAGAATTTCAAAATCTTATTCAAATAATCAATGACTATAATGTTAAGAACGAACATGTTTTGACAAGGCAGATATACTTCATACTATAATGTCTAAATCATAACAGTCTTGATAAAAGGATAATAATTACACTAGAAAACTAGTCAATAAAAGATTTAGTCAAATTACTTATGATTTTTTGAATATTTAAAAGATCATGACAAGTTGTTCGATATTATACTTGATCTTCAAATACAAGTCAATCAATTGTTGAATTGATAATAAATTAAATTATTAAATTTATTTAATCTTATTTTATTTAAAATTTTTATTTATATTTGGATCAACTTATTAGGAAACCTAATGTCTCATGACCCCAATACCGGGTCCATAACTGATAATGCAGGAGTAGTGTCATAAAGACATCCAATCTACATTCAGCTTCAAAACTTACATATTACAAAACAAACTATATAAGGATTTCAAAGTGTTTCATAATCTTTCAAAATATTCCTCAAAACCAATAAAAATAACCCATAATTCAAAATACTTATTACATTATATAAAATCCAATCTTTGAAATGATAATATAAACTTGAATGAAAACAACATAATACTGGAGTGTCTCAGACATTGAATCACAAAGAATAAAAAAAGTCTTGTAGAAGCAAGCAAGGCATACCTACATAAATAAAATAGTAGAAACTCTCAATCAAAGGTCAACCTACTAACGAAAGTTAAGAACCTAAAATAATATTAAAATAAAGAAGTGAGTTCAACTAACTCAGTAAAAAAAAATATTTAATAATTTATAGGTAGTACGTATCTTGATATAAATATGTATACTAAAAATATTAATATAAGATAGTGTAATACATTTCAGAGATCAGATGATATCTGAAGGTCACTACTGTGGTAGGATCAATCATCATAGATCAGTGTCTCATTCACTAACTAGGTATATAAAATATTATATGCACATAAACTAACTACGCTTTAATGCTTTATTAATATGAAGTTACAAATAATTTCTATATCAAGACATAATAGATGTTAGCATAATTATCAAAGTAAATGAATATAATTTAACTTAACAGGATGTAACTATAAATTTAAAAATAAATAAGTACTCAGATAGTAAGGCAACATATATAAATATTCAATAATTAATCAATTATATTCATCATATAATCAACATACATATATTATTTATATTACATGCATATTAATGATTATTCTACTCACCTGAAAAACAAAAGCAAAATATAAGCGGATGCATAACTAGAGACTATTAAAGATCATAAGAAGAAACATCAACAAACCCTATAATGGATATGAAAAACACTAAAAAATAACTTGAAACAAAGTAACATAAAAGATTAAAACTCTAAGCTTAAAGACCAAAATATAAGTATAAAGTTAAACTGATTTACCTGATCAATCCCGAATATAACCCAAATTTATCGAACCTAATAGACCTAAGCTACCCCTACTACTGAGTCAACTGGTCGACCGAAATATCTAACCAATCAACCGCCACTATAAGCTAATTAGTTGGCTGGTTTGGACTAACCGATTGACCAACAACATCAAGTTAATCAGTCGACTGGTTGATCGAGATTTCTAGAATCCTAATCTATCAGTCTTCAAATTTATAAATCCTGCAAAAACACTATGTTCTTCAATAATCCATGATTCTAGTCTAATCACTTCATTTAAGGCTAACTAACACCCTAAAACATCAATTATAATTCTTAGATCATTCAATCACAAAAATAATATAAAAAACCCTAAACACTTCTTTAATCTTTCGACAATCAATGTCTTAATAAAAAATATTAGTAAAGGAAGATACTTATTTGTTTTTTCAACCTTTCTTGCACTGAAAACTTAAAATTGAAATCTTTGGTATTTTAGGAAAAAAGTATGGCAAGAGAGAAAAAGAGGAGATGCGGATAACAATTTCTCTTGCAATTTTTTTTTTAAATACCTAGGTTAGCTAGGTTAGGTTTGTGCTTAACTTTGAACTTAGATCCATTGGGCCAAAACATTGGTCTTATATAATAGATCACAGATATAAAAACTATTAGTTAGAAATTAAAATGGAAGATTAATCAAGTGTGACTTGATTGTAAATAAATTTTAAAATTTAAGAACTAGAATGTAATTAATACAGGAGATTGTAATTCTCGATCTAAAACAATCAATGACTTAATTGAATAAATCTCTAAAATTAGTCTAAAATAATATATGTGATATTATTTAAGAGGTAAATTTATATTTTATTATTTATAGGGTTTTTAGGTTTCTCCATAAATAGAATGCTATACATCTTATTTTTTAAGATAAATAGAATATATTACAAAAATACCTAAAACACACAAAAAAAAAAGATTGCACTCTAAGGTATAACAATTTCTCTTTTCTAAAAGGGTTTAAGAGAATTACTGTTAAAAGCTAGATATTTGGACAACTTGTGCTTTGCAACAACTCAACCTTGAAGTAATTATTCAAAGTTGAAAAAAACAATTCAGATATTTTTAACATAATTTTGAATTGGCATGTAGTGCCTGGTTGATCGAGGACTGCCCATGATGGTCTAAACAGGATTTTAGGTAATGTTTGGATATTATCTTGAAATATATAGAAAAAACGAAACATTGAGACAGAAGAGATATGTCTTGTTATGAAATGATAAAATTTACTCCAAAACATGTATCTGTCTTTTTTTTTTTATTTTTGTCCACACTAACCAAACACAGCATTGGTATGCATCATGCACGCGGAAAGGGGGGCCATGCGGACCAGATGAACCAATATTTCTCAGGTAATAAGCTTTCAGCATGAAAATAGCAGAAATATATCAGATAATCATCTCCTACTTTCTATTTCAAGAAATTAATCCAGGAAGAACACGTTGAGAACGGAATAGACGAGAATCATTCAAGATTCTGTTGGAGAATTCTTCCTAAATTGCTTATCTTTTTTTATTTTTACATCTTCTCCATCTTTGGCAAAGCAATAAGGACATCTGCATGCATGATAACTTCGTAATTGTTAGATACACAAGACAAAATCCAGAACCTGAAGTGTACATTCCGAAGCTATACTACTCAGACCCTTCAGGAATTGGTTCCAGATTTGACTTCCAGTTTCTTGGAGAATCAAGAGAAGAACTTTTCTGCTCTAGCCCCAACAGAACCTCCTCAACAGATATTTCCTTTGTCAAAAGGTGTTGAAGTTGTTGCTTTGTGATAACTACTTTAATCTTCTTGACACCTCCACTGGCTTGATCTTCTCTGACGTCAATCACAGGTGAAATCACTGGAGCTGAAGGAAGAATATAGTAAACATTCCCGAGCTTTAACTCGTAACCTGGTGGCAGATGATGCTCTATATCCTCCTGTGTGAGACCAATTCCTGAGCCAGAATAGTTCACCAAGATATCTCTCACAAGAATTGGAGTGCTGAATTCCAAAACCTTTCCATCTGTTTTCACGACCTGCAAAACTTTCTCTTGATTGGCTTCAGCAATTCTAATGCATGAACCTATAGAGGGAGGTCTAACACAAGGAGCTAAACAATTGCCCATTTTTCTCCAAGAAAAGATGGACATGGAAGTTTCAAAAGATTTCAAGAGGAGAAGAGGGATTTCCTCTGCTTTGTTGCATGCAATTAAGGGAGAGATATGGAAAAACTGAATTTAGAAAGGATAAAAGAGAAGCAATGAGACATTTATTTTTTAAAGAAAGCAAGAGAGATATAAAAACTGTCAACGCGCATGCAAGA